TGGCTTTCTAGCTACTGTGATAAAAGTGGTTCCAGATACTCACTGCAGTAAAATTTGAGCTAAAATGCTGATGTTTTCTAGCAAGCACTGTGACATTGGTTTCAGTGAGGCCAGGCTTTCCCTGGCCAAATGCCTCTTCCTGGTCCTATTTTAAGTACTTTAAAATACCTTCTACTGGAAGATGGTCTTTTCTACATATAAACTTAATAATGATGTAAATAATCAGAGATGTGAAGAGTCACAAACTGTTTTAAAGCAGAATTTTTCAAGCTGCTGAATGTGTTTTACTCAGGCTGGCTGAGGAGTCCGATGGAATTTGAATTGTAGAGGTTCAGTTCAAGACATTGTGAGTCTTTTAAAATGCTAATTGTTTTAATATTCAGAAAGAACAACTGAAGTGCAGTTTATCCTATCTAAAATAATGTTGGGCACTAGAAACATTGTTGAGAACCACTTTGGAGGGGGATGTCTCCCAGTGTCCACCTTTGTTCTCTACAAATCAATGCTACAAAATCTTCCTTTTATTTGTTGGACTTATTAAATACTTGTTGAAAGGAATTTTATTCTATAAATTACTTCGCTCACTTCATTTGCTTTGCAAGTTGTTACTGATTTATATGTGGTTCAAGCTAAATTCAGCTGAGAAGTCGCGTTCCTCATTTTAAGGAAAGAAAAAAGATGCAAATTCCTGGATTTTGTAGATGAAAACCATACAAGATCTTATAATTGTCCCTAGAAGTTAAAAGATCAAGTGCTTATTTGTTTATACATGAAAATTTCCTAGAAGTCATGCCTTGTACTTTGTATGGTCTTATTGTAATGTTAAATAGAATAGCATTCTCAACTAAAGAAAGAAAATAAACTCCTGTGGTTTACAAATAAATCTCAAACATTTATTAATAATATTTAATTTTTTGTGTCAGTGTATTTTTTGTTGGGTTTTTTTTGTGTGCTCAGTGTTTAGACAGCACCTGAAAATAATTACTCAGTTTCACCTTTGCATCTAGCATATTTAGGTTTTAAATTTACTTGCGTGGAGCTAAGATAGCTTTGTTAACATGACTGTCCAGCAGTGTTCAAGTTCAGATTTTAAAAGTCAACAAATAATAGAAGTATTTGAAAAAGTTTAATTATATATACTTTTTTTTTCTGAACCTGAATTTTGAGCCAAGAGGGTTGAAAGTTTATTATCAGTCTCAATGCAAAATGTTAAAATGCAGGACAAAAATAATCATAATTAGTATATTTGTTTATGTTACTCAGTCTTTGTCTAGGATACATAAAGACTAGGAGTTGTGTAAACATACTTTTCCAACTAGGAGTGTATTTCAGCAAAATGAGGACAAGAAAGTAGTTTTAATTCAAATTTTTCTTTTATTATGTATTTAATTGGAGTTTTTGAAGCACTGACATTGACAATATTACACTCTTGGATGTGGCTGTTCTCATCACCTGGTCTGTTACAGTGGTGGTGCGACTTTCAGCTTTGCTCTGATGAACAATACGGTACATAGGAGTTTTATCCTGATGTATAAATTAACATTTCAAATATTACTTAACATTTCTTTGATGGTAGTCACAAGCTGTCCTTTTTGTATACTGTCCTCCATCTGTTTCTTTGTTTTTGCCTCTTTTCCCCTTCTGTCTTACTCTTTGAGTCATCATCCATAATGTCACATTGTGTTTTGCTGTCACATACTGCTGCTTTGCTTGCTTGTTTCTTTGTGTCATGCCTTGCATATATGGTGAAGAAAACTTCTGAAATAAGGCTTTTCATGGTCCTGCAGCTTGCGTGTTAGAGCCTGAGGTTGGTTGTCTTTACCAGTATCTTCTGTTGGGGGAAGGAGCAGACAGGAAAGGGACTGCAAGTCATACAGTAAACATTGCATGAAACACACAGTGTATTCCCTGTTCTGCGCTTTGGAGGTCAGGCTCCTGAAGAAAGAAGACTACATCATAGAAAGTGTTGAGAATTTGATTCAGTACATGTCTTTTTGCTCCTTTTGAGTTAGGGTTGAAGGTTTCAAGACAAGCTGATGCTTCATTCCTGCTAAAATGTCTGCCTACCGTAATAGGTAGACTTGATACCTGACGTCTGCCTGTCTGGCAGGTGAAGAAAGAGGATAGCATGATCCTCACAGAAGAGAGGCAAGGAAGACTGGGAGTAGGAATGAGCTAGGTGTGATCTTTGGAAGTTACTGTCAGACGATCTCTACTGTGGGTAGCTCTGGCTGTAGGTAGGCAGGAGGAGGTGGTGGAACAGCTGCTGTAGCTGTCAGCAGTCACATGACCGTATAGATGTCAAATGTACATCACTTATCTTAATGCTGTTGACATTCACAACCAGCCACAGAGCAACAGCTACTGAATTTAGCTCTTTTTCATTGTGCTGTTTATTAAGAGGCAAGGCAGGGAGGATTTCAGAGATGACTGTGCAGTTAGCTGTCCTTAAGAAGTAATTTTGTTAGAATGCCCGTTGTACATGAAGAAGATTTTTTTCATGGTTCTTTTCGTCTCTTTCCCACAGCAGGTTTATTTTCTATTGCGTATTTACTGTTACTTTTTAATTTCTGAAGAGACAATGTATTCCAGTTGGGTTGAGTAACTCTGAAGGAGTTATATTTTTCTTGCATTTAATTTAAAAATATTCTTTATTCATAGTTATGATTCTATTCCTTTATGTTTCTGATCTATGTGTGTCTTGTGAACAACAGTATTATTTGACCCATAATAATTTTTTAAAGGTGGGATGTACTTACCTGAATATTTTATTCTTTGTCTTAAGACAGTTCCTCTATTGTACTTTATTTATACTTTAGCAAGTTGGTGTTTTTCCTTACAAATACTCAAAGCAAGTATGTGACATTTTTAAAAAAAACCAAAACTTTTAAGTTATTAGTCAAAGTGAATTGATTTAAAGAGACTTCATTCCTGATCAATGCAAAGCTGGTGATACACTAAGTGAGGATACGCTATCCTCCTATATCTCCCTCCCTCTCCAAATACTTAAAATTACTTGTTTTTGATAAACCCTCTGGCCACTTATTTTCCTTTATCTACTAATCCCTTGCATTTAGTGTGTTTGTATTTTTTTTGGTATGATTCTCTTCTCCACTCACGTAGCAATTTGTCTTCCATTTTCTGTATGTTATTTTGCTTTTTCTTTCAGTCTGCTCTGAAGTGTAAGGACTAATTCACCAACACTGCTTCTAAGCAGAAATGCTCTCTGCATGGTGCTGCCTGCAGAATGAAACTGTCCAAGCGTATTGAAGAGATGTCACTCTGATCACTTCTAAATAGGAACATTTTACTAACTTCTTTAATGCATTGGGTATCAGCTGTTGAAAAAGAAGTAATTGTTAAAAAAAGTCTTGAAACTTTAAGCCATTTGTTGGCTATTTCTTAATTTAGTACATTGCCTCATGTTACCAAGCAGACCTGGAGCCTTTCCTATTGCTTGAGTGGAGATACATCATCTTATGTATGGATTTTGGTATGATTTGTTTATACTGTGTTTAACACATGGAAAAAAACCTGTCCTTAGAGGGCAATAGCTGTAGTTAGTGGTGTCTTTGGCCATAAATACTGTCTTTAGAGGAAAAGATGGTTAACCTTCTTGTGGGATTTTTTTTCTTTATGCTTGCTCCAGTAAATGATCTGAAATACAAACCCAGTTTTAAATTCCCCTTTTGCATCTATGTTTTTCTTTTTTCATTCTCTCTTGGTGGTCTGCGTTAAAGTATATTCCATCCTGAAGAAACTAGGAGAATCATGACCTTGCTTCCTCTGTATTGTCAAAAAAGAAAAATGCAGAACAGTTTTGCCCTCAGTTTTTGTATCTGCATATAGACATTGAAAATATTCCAGCATGGTTGTTTTAGATGTGGTTAAATATTTTGTAAACATTTGTTTGCCAACTTCAAATTTATTTTTATGTATTCAGTTACAATACATTTTCAGCTTGAGTGTGTATTATTCGGGCATAGGGAGAAAAAGGAAGTAGTTACATGTGTCCTAGAGGCAAAAAAAGAAAATGGTTTCCTTAAATCTATTGTCTGTTTTAGACTGGTGCCAGGATACTTTCAACTCTTATTGTCTGCAATGGGAGCTGAATACTCTGCATCAAAAAGGAATTATTTTGTGTATTTCCTTGGAAACTACACAGAACCATCCAGTGAGAGATTCTTGCAAATAAATAAATCTTTGTTTATATTTTGTAATCTATGTGTACTGATTTAAGATTGTGGTTTAAAAGCTAATGCACAGGTTTTCTATTGTAATGGTATTGTTCTTTAGAGGCCTCATGAATACTTTAGCATTCTTTTCTTTTTCTGTATTGGAGAGATCACTGTCCTGAAAGTTTCAGTTTGTAGCCTTAATTTGGGTGAAGAGTTCAAAATTTTAAAAGAAAAAATTCCTTCCATTTATGTTACATAAGTCTGTTTTGACATCCTTTCTGGGCACGTTTTGAGGAAAAGGATAAGTAAATATAAGAGCTTAATGCTTTTTTGCAAGTTAGACAAAAGCATGGGGCTTTGGAACAGTATGTGATTGCTTTGAACATGCCACAACTTGCTGTACGCACCTGGGCCAATGACTTGCATACACTCCAAGCAAGGAAAACACTCGATAAACATTTGGTATTACCTGGTAGGATTGGGACCCTATTATGTTTCAGCTCCCCCATTTGTAAATGGATGGTGTTTGCCTAGATTACTGGGATGCTGAGAACACAAACCTGGACAGGGATCAGTATAGTTTGCTGCTGTTTGCCTGTCCCTTTTCTTTTTACATAGCTTTCCTCCATCACTGTGCTTTTGAGAGGGTTGAATTGCATGTATTTGTAAGCGCGGAAAATGATTAACGCTTACTTTTCTCCGGTGTTTTACGTATTACATATTATGAACAATCCCCAAAGTGAAGTCTGTATTAAATATCATGAACACATTTGAATCGTGTTTGAATGAAAATGCAATAGTATCTTTATTTGTGCCTTACAGGAAGAAAAGGCTTCTCTCCTGCATCGTACTCAGGAAGAAAGGAGAAAACGAGAGGTAAAGTAGACTGTAAGCATTTGCATGCGCACTGGATTTTTCTTTGATGTATTAACATTTACAGTCCAAAGTACTTCTGCTGCAGTTGTACTTAGTTAAGGAATGTTTTGTTTCAGTTTGCAAGTTCTGTATAGTCTTCCAGTATACTAGAATTGATAAACTGTTTGACTGCTTTTAAGGTGCTTCCCAGAAGTGATTTTCATCTCAAAAGAAGGTAATTAAGCATGTGCTAGGTGCAAAGGGAATTTTTCCTTTTATTTTGGTACTCATTGATTCTAGTCTTTGTTGAGAAGAGATAGGTATTTGGCTAGCAAATTGCATTTTTTGGCTTGTCGATAATCTGTTACTATGGTTTGGTCTCAGCAAACTGTCTTCTCTTCCTGGTTCTGCTATGGTTTCTTGGATGACCTGCAGTAATTAACTTCCCCAATGTGTGCCTCAGTTCTGTGAAGGTAAAATCAGAAGAGTGATACTTGAATGCATCCTAAAGTGCTTTGAAATCACCTGATAATTGAGGACCAATGAGAAGCTGATGTGTGAGGCTTTAGGAAGCCTTATACTGGTTTGTGATGGAAGTTTACTGCCATGGATAATTCAGTCTGGAATAACGCAAAGGAGAAATAGGCAATGAAAGGAAAACACGCCAGTTTTGAAACTTGAATGTATGTGTCATCACGAAAACAAAATTTGGTAGTATGGATTTAAAGTGAATATGTTCATGTTGTCATTCCCTCCCAGATATGAGTTGAAAAAAAATTTTGGTCTTAAAAATGATGTAAAAAGTATAACTGTGTTAGAAAGCATAGCTATTTGGCCATTAAAGATGTGTTTGACCCTTGCTAGATTAACTAGAAGTTCTGCAGTGGCTCCTCTGTTTCTGAGGACAGATACTGCTTTTTTTTCCTTTCCAATCTGGATGTATAATTACAGACCAACTTTACTAGGAAGTTACTAGGATTTCACCAGTTAGTTCACAATGCTCTGTTACGAATCAAATTTATGATCAGTGAGTCCTTACCAACATATGCAAAAAGACTTTTTTGCGCTTGTCCTGGTTTCAGCTGGGATAGGGTTAATTTTCTTCCTAGTAGCTGGTACAGTGCTATGTTTTGAGTTCAGTATGAGCAGAATGTTGATAACACTGATGTTTTCAGTTGTTGCTCAGTAGTGTTTAGACTATAGTCAAGGATTTTTCAGCTTCTCATGCCCAGCGAGCAAGAAGGCTGGAGGGGCACAAGAAGTTGGGATGGGACATAGCCAGGGCAGCTGACCCAAACTGGCCAACGGGGTATTCCGTAACATGGGACATCACATCTAGTATGGGAACTGGGCGGAGTGGGGGCGGGGGGATCGCCGCTCGGGGACTAGCTGGGCATCGATCGATTGGCAGGTGGTGAGCGGTTGCACTGTGCGTCATTTGTATATTCCAGTCCTTTTATTACTACTGTTGTAATTTTATTAGTGTTACCATTATCATTATTAGTTTCTTCTTTTCTGTTCTATTAAACTGTTCTTATCTCAACCCATGAGTTTTACTTCTTTTCCTGATTTTCTCCCCCATCCCACTGGGTGGGGGGGAGGAGTGAGTGAGCGGCTGCATGTTGCTGAGTTGCTGGCTGGAGTTAAACCACGACAGCACTTCATAAACTTTTTGCCATATATCAAAATAACCCATTCAGTTGCTTAATTCTGTCTGCTGCAAAGCTGATGCAAAGTCATATACTCATATCTGTATATGTACACACATACACACAACAATTTTCTGTGACATATATCAGATTCTCACAAAATGAATGACTCCTCTGAGAATAAAATCAGTTATGGCTTTTAAAAAAATGCCTGTAGCAGAATCTTAGCAGTGACCTCAGACTTAAAACCTTGGCAATTAAGGGTCGCTAATTGACAGTTATGTATTCTAGGATAAAACCTGTACCTAGAGAAAAGGAGAAGATACCTACTTTTTAGTCAAGCATTACATTATGATTATGAAGAGGCAGTGCCTCTCTGTGATTGAAACTCTCTCTGGCTTGCCCCCATACTTTGCACTTTTACTGTTAGATACTTTGGAGAGAAAAATATCCTTTGGCCTATCAAAATTTTGATCTTGGTCCGCGCTCTAGAGGTAATCAGAGTCTTTCAAGTATATGCTTATTCAGAGAAATTGCTTTAGGAACTGGGGTTTCCAAGAAAAATAAAATAGACATTGGATAGCAATTTCATCTGGTGTTTCTCTGGTCAGTTCAGGTTAAGTTCTGAAGTTGGATGTGTCTTTATGGGACAATAAATTAGAAATCAAGGTTTTGTGAGTTGAACGTTTATGTGAACTTTCCCAAATGTATTTTAATGAAATTTATAAAAACATTTTGGTATTTTGTTTTGCTTGGTGGCCCTCAGAATTATGGGCTCGTTATAGTTCAAGGATTGATTAGGTTAAAGTTTCTCTTCTCAAAGCAGGCTTCTCTCATTTTTACTCTTGGTCTTCGTACTTTCCTTTCCTCAACGACTGCTTTGTAGCTGTAGGTTCATAAGCAACTATTTTATTTACTTCCCTCTTTCATCCCGTAAGAAACTATATGGACATTATTAGAAACCTAATTACAGTAGCCACTTCCCTTGGATGTTCATTGTGATGGGATATGCTGGGAGTGTGTGTTGTCAGGGGACTCAGAGTGCTCTTTCCATAGTACCTTAAGCAAGCTGGCTTTCAGTTCCTCAGAAAGTGAGCCATTGCAGAGGATGGTTTTAACTACTCTTTCTAGCTACTGAGGAAGACACCATAAAATGACTCGCTTTACATGTCTGTTTTGAAGGAGAGAGCAAGAATTCTTATTAATTTCCATATTGTGCTCCTGGGCTTAAAGCATTAAGGCTCATTTTCCTTTTACTGCAGTATTGTGTCCAAATAATGGATTTTTTTTTTGGTTTGTGGTTTTTTTTCCCACGTTTAAACTGCACCAGCCTCATAATACTGATATATTATTTGAATGGAAGCAAATAAGTGGGTCTTCAGTGTTAGCTGATCTGTGCAGAAAGAGGAAGGGTGTCATTGAGTTTGATGAATTCTTCAACATTTTAGTATTAAGACTTTGTCTAATAAAATGCGAATGTGTTTATTTTGATTTCTGTAGTATTACATACTTATTGAGTATTAAAAATTCTTTTGCAATATCTTAGTGGTAAATTTACACTTAAAAACATAAAAAGCTTGCTCCCTGATTTATGTGTATTGAATGCAAACCTTCAAACACTTTATTTTACTGATGATTAGTGCTTAATTCTAATTTAAAAAAATTCCTTTTGTATACAAATATATTTCATAAAACGGTAGAAATTAGAGTCAGTTCCACAATGTTGATTTCAGTTTTCTTTCTTTGTTTTACAGGAAGAAAGGCGGAGGCTGAAAAATGCAATAATAATCCAGTCATTTGTAAGAGGGTACAGAGACAGAAAACATCAAGTATGTACTTATTTATTTATTTAGAAAGATGTAAAACAGTTTTGCTGCAAATGAGACTTTCTAGTAATAAATAATTCCATTGAAAAAAATCTTCATCTTCTTGAGTACTGTGTGTGCCCACAAAGTGGAAGTTCTTTTTTCCTCTTGACATTTTCATTTGAACCTCAATATTTTAGTAGATGGACATTTATTCTGCAAAGCATGTCTGTGCCAGTGGACTTCAGTGGGATTACACAATGTTTTTTTGAGCTGACAAAGCAAATGAAAACAGTTAGGTATTAGCAGCTTTCACACACCAGTGGAACTTTTTTTTTTTGTTATGGCTAAGGTGGTAGTTTGAGTCAAAAAGATGTTCTTTCTAAGCTGCTGTTGGGTGGATTATTTTAAGAATGAGTTGTATCTGTTTACTTAATAAACATTAGCGATTTTAAACTAGGTGAAAATGTTTGATGTGATATTCTTTACTTGAAAAGCAACAAATTTGTTGCAATGTGTATTTCCTGAATTACAGAAAGCAGTTATGGCTCTAACTATGATATTGTGTGTATGTTTTGATCTCTTAACAAATATGTGTTATATCCATTTTACTACTTTGCAACCACCTCGGATGGGGAGCTGAAATGAAGTTTTTGAAATTTTGCATCTCTATTTTACATCATAACCATTATTGATATATTGATGCATGTCTTATTTTTAAGTACTCTATCCAAAGAAGTGAATTTGATCACTGTGCTGATTTGGCCCAGTCTGGAGGAACCTTTTCCACTACTAATGGAGCCAATTTGACTCTTTTAGTTCGTCAGTTGCTCTTTTTCTATAGACAGAATGAGGATTCTAAGCGTTTGGTGAGTACTGTTACCTACTTTGATCCATAGTACTTTTATTTCATGCACTTTTAAAGTACTCTTTCACTTAAAAGATTTTGAAGGGATGCAAAAAAGGCTTTGACCACTTCAGTAAATTAATTTAAGAATTCTGGCTTTTGCTGGCTTGCACTCTGCTGTTTTTCATTTAGGCAGAATAACTTAAAATTAGATTTTATATGTGCACACACACACACAAAATTTATGAAATGAAGCCTTGAAAAATCCTGTGTGTATTATTCACAGTAGTTTATTAAAAATAATATGCTTCTATTAGAATTTAATTTTTAAACAATATTTTCCACTTAGCTCTCTGGTCATTCTTAAGGTATTTGGGTTGTTTGTTTGTTTTTTTTTTTTTTTCATCACTGGTCAATAATGCTGGCATATCAATTGCAAAGTCACTGCAAACATCCCAAATGTGCAAGTAAATATGATTCATAGTGGGTATTAATGATAGACATTAAAGAATTATACCTATTTAAAACAAAAAAATTATCAGATAAATTTGTTGCAAGAGTAAAGTTATTTGTAAGTGTAATTCAGTCTTAACTTTGAAAGTTTAGTACAAGCAGTTGTTTAGTTTATCTTGTGTAAAAATTTCTTTTTTATCAGCTGAACATGATTGTCTTACTTTGTGTTTTGTAAGTCCTCCAAAGGCAACCAAACCAGGATTGAAATACTACTGTCTGTGTTGCAATAAATAATATAACTTGTTGTTACAAACAGTAAACTTGTGCATATCTTTTCCCAGGTATGGATGTGTCAGAATTTAATTAAACAGAGTTCTCAGTTTGTTAAGCAATTGGATGGTCCAGACAGACTTACTTGCTTATTCCAAATAAAAAGACTGTTGGGGCTGTGTTGCAGGTAAATTCTTTTTCCGATGTGCTACTGTCTAAAGTGGGTTGCGAAATTATGCTGGGCACTGGTTTGTTTCTTTTTGCAACAGGTGAAGTATTAAATGTGAATTTATTTTATGGAGAGAACTGTTTATGTTAAATACATGTTTAGGCCATGGTATAGGATACTTGTTCCTATGTAAGAACAGTGGAATGTTCTTAAGCTCTGTTGACTTTCAAGTTCAACATGGGCGTAAGGGATGCCCTGCCTAGAGATAGGCATAAGTATGTTCTTAACTGTTCGCATATAGCGGTATCATTAGCAATATTTGTGGAAACCAGAAGAACTGATAGTGATTAGACGATATTATCTGAGTTAGACTAATGTTCCAAGGATATACTTTGGATGTGTTTTGTTTTAAAACTAATATTATTTAAGATGCCTTTCCTCGCACTTTATTTTGAATTTAAGACATGTTAAGCAGTTACATTACTGGCTTCAGCAGTACATTTATTATCTATAGTGGGAGGATCCTTGGAGGATCACAGGAAGGTAAATCTATCAAGGTGACTTGAATAGCTGGCAGCTAAAGCCTAGTGTTAGAAAACAATATATTTGTTCTTATCAATAAGAGGAACCAGTTATACTCTCCAGAACTTTAAAATAGTTTTTTTTTCCTTTTAATTTTGAGGCTTTTTTAGAAAATTGTTTCATTCAAGTCACTGAACCTTGTGTTCTTACAATTATGTATACTGTATGTATGATAAACAGTGACACCAGATACTAAAGACTTGAGTGGTGGGCTTCAGAGTCCATGTACAGCGGAACACAGCTGTGGTGTCACTGGATTGAATTGTACCTTTTCACTACAGTTGAAATTGTGGTTTTGTAAATGCAGCTCTGTTAGTATTCCCACTCTCCCTTCCTGACTGGGTGATGTGGGAAAACAAAAGGAGTGGAAGAGCTGTCCCTGCCTATACATATAGATAGGGACAATGGAGGAAGAAGCTCTTCTTAACTTTACCTTGCCAGCATGATGATGGGTGTCTTTCTTGCTTTCTGAGCTACTTTGATTTTCTGCAGAAGCCCAGAAAGTGAGCAGTGGGACAGGTAGCCAAAAAAGTATTTCCCTGGGATAAGTTCAGATTCATGAGAAGTTGTAGCTTTTGATGCTATGGAAAAAAAGGTGACTGTGTAATATTGTAGCAAAAAATGTTAGTTTGATTGCAGCTACATCTGCAAAAAAGGTCTTGTTGTCAGAGTATCTTTTTTTCTGTTTAGTGAAATGTCTTAGCTATGGTGTCAAAACAATTTTTGCTGATAGGTCCCATTTTTCTGAATGGCTGGGAAGGAAAGCACATTGTTAGGGCAACTATGCCTATATACATCTCATACTAACAAATTCTTTTAATTCTAAACCGGCTCTTAATCTTCACCATTTCTGTGGTTACTGGTAGTTGTTTCGTAAGCAACTTGCTAAAAGGATGGGAATGGTTGTATTTTTAATATTTCAGTCTGTAATCAAAGACATATTGTTTTAGTTACACATATGACATTCCCCAGCACTTGTTCCCAGCCCATATTGCTCTGGGGCTTTCATGGCTTCATTTTTAATCTGAGTAGTAATACATGTTGGAAAAACATGTATTATTCTTTGCTTCTCTTCCAGTTTGTGCAATAGACTTCCAAACTTTGAAGTCATTGAAAGAAAGAATTTAGTAGGATTTAAAGAGAGCGCGCCATATTTGTAGAAATCCTAAAATCAGGAATTATTATTATAAAGGTGCCAACAAAAAGATGTAGCTAACCTACTGAGAGCACTTGGAAACCAAGTAGAAATAAGTTATTTTGAGCTGAACGTGAAAGGTTTTTTGTAGTTTTATTTTTAAACCATTGTACATATGCCTGTGGTGAAATAAGAGAAATATCTTGTTAAATAATTTTGATTTAATTTCATTTATAGGCTATTGCAAAATTGCAATGATGACAGTCTGAATGTTGCACTTCCTATGAGAATGCTTGAGGTATTTTCATCTGAGAATACGTATTTGCCTGTTTTACAAGATGTCAGCTATGTGACATCATTAATTGAACAAATTTTGCACTACATGATTCAAAAAGGTGAGTAGCTAGGATCTAGAAGTTCTGGGAAATACTCAAAAATTGAACAGAATGTGTAATACCTGAAGACCATGTTGTTTAATCACATTTTTGCCTTTACCACAGACATGATGAATTAAGTGCTGCATACACTAACCTATACATTAGATGGGTATTTTGCTTGTAATGAGATCACTGCTTGAGAAATTACTGTTTAATTTCTTTGGAAATTCTGTTTATAAATTGAATATTCTACCAAGTTACTTATACAGACTTTTACCACAGATTTTGAGAGTAGGTGGATATTTCCTAACAAAAGTTTTATTCCAGTAGTTGTGTGTACACACACACACCACACACACACACTGTGGCAGATACAAGCTTTAGTTGTGTAAAAGTTGGCTATTGTGTTGCAGTACTGTTCTCTGTAACTGTTAACTTTAATTATTATCGTAAATTGGCATTACCTTTTCATCCTGCTAACACTAGAGACACCTTAGCAAAGAGATGGTGACCTAGCTTTTATTTCCCTTGTACTGTCATCAGCAAAACTGTTTGCTAAACTGCCATCCGTTACACCTGTGCAAACATACCGAAAGTTAATGAATTGTGTAGTTATCACCAAAATTGTGTTTTGTCTCGAAGAAACTTTATTACTCTGGGAACGTGCGAAAAAATTAATTTGGCTTTCTGATACCATAGCTTGAGTTTGCAAGACTTGTGAGTGGGGAGAAAAGACAAAAACATTATGAAATAATCATCTTCGATCCAGCTTCATTGGTATAAAAAGCAAAAAGAGCACCTTCCAATTTGTTAGTTAATTGTTGTGATAATTCTATGTAAGTTTCAAATTACATTCAGTGGACTGGGCTATCTTATCCTGTTACTAAGGATTTGGTTTTAACTGCTACATGTCAAAGTCACTATGACAGAAAAAATTACTGTTACTGTAGCACATATATTTTACTTGCCTAGGTGTAGCTGAAACTATAGAAGTATTTGTGTTTGTCTCATTGCTTACTATATAATAAATATATATTCCAAAATACTTACATTTGTTCTTTTAGTGTAATATTCAGTCCTCACAACTGAATATGAAAGCTTATCAAGATGTTAGATCATATATTTTAGTAAAAGAATTCAGCTTTCTAGTCACTTAAAATAGGAAAAAAAAAATTGGTCATGTGCAACTACAAATTTTCTGTCTCCTAATCATTTATGATGGTTAATATGTAAAAAAATCTGTAATCAGCTTTTATTAGTATATGTTTTTGCATATAATCTGTCTTCCATGTGCATCTCGTCAGCATTGCTAAGTTATTTCTTTATGGTGACTTCCGCTTGTTGCATTGAATGTGAACTTGGGTAGTCCCTGACAAAGGGTCTTGGACTGGACCTCTCAATCATGCAACGCTATTTTGGCATTTACAGTGTTTCCTGTAGTTGTGGAACTTGCATCTTAGTTTAGGAGTTCATTGAGAAGGAGGAAGATGGTTTAAGAAGAGTGAAATCACGTGATTCCATTTGTACTTTAGTGAGACAAAAATAGATTACCCTCTAGACATGTCTTTATGGCTTGAGTGGTAATGCATTTTATTACTGAGAGATCCCTGTTTTGGAAACAGTAATTGTATTCTTCAGCCTGCTAAGGCAAGGTGTTTATAGAATTGAGACATCCTGCCAACAGGACTTTTACGTGTGTGATGCAGTCATGTTTTGGAGTAGAGGGGAAGATTCACCATTTCTGAAAGGGTGGAAGGACTGCTGTCAAAAACATGACTAGAGTCACTCAGAGGAGAAAAGAGAACATCTTTTTCATAGGTCATCATTTAAAAAAAGAGAAAATTATTCACTTCATCAGCAGGAGTGATCAATCTTTGAAAATCAAGCTGACTCTGAATGCAATTATCTACCTATGATTTTATAAAGCGATATTTCCAAAGAGATTGCTAGTGTATCCTCTTAGTCCAAGTCACATTCATATAACTATTGTAAAACGTCTTTGTAAGTAAAGCTTCATGGAATGAATTGTAAAGTATTTTTCAAGTTACTGTTAAGTATATAAGTTGTTTTGTATGGAAAAGAAGAAAAATAATACTGTATTTAAAAAGTGATATTTCTTATTTGCAGGCTACTACAAGTCGCTTTATTTGTTAATTAACAATAAGCTTCCCTCGAGTATTGAGTATTCTGATGTTTCTCGAGTCCCTATTGCAAAAATACTTCTGGAGAATGTTCTGAAGCCATTGCACTTTACATATAGCTCCTGTCCAGAAGGTGCAAGGTAAATAAAGATAATATTATATATTTATGTACTGATTTGTTATTGTCAGAGGTGTGCAGTTTGTTGTTGAATGTCTAGCTATTCTTTCAGTGCAGTTTGTTGATTTATTTGCAATAGTAGTGATTTTTTGGTAATGCTATACATCAGTGAAACAATGGAGTTTCAGGTGTGTTTAATAAAAAGGCAATAAAATGCTGAAGGCTACAGTAAACAGCACAGAGAATAGCAGGTATCACAATACATAGGAGTATAGGTGTGGGAAAAAATTAGATAAGGGCAGAGATGCAGCTAAGGGCAAATGAAAAGAATTTTAGAGTTAAAAAGAACTTTGTGACAGGAGCTGAGGTTTGTGGAGAGAAATAAGTCGTAGCTTACAAGCAGAAAGAGTCAGGGATGGAACAAAACTCAAACTGGTTATATCATGTGATAGTGTTCTGTGTTAAAGTAGTACTTTGGGAAAAAAGACTAATTGTGCTTTTTTAATTTACTTTTTAGTTCAAGATTATAAACAATGAATTTAACTTCAGAATAGTTTTCTGTGAGGTTATGAAAAGTTTAAAGGATAAAATATGTAAGATCATCAGGAAAATAATATATAAGTTCATTTTTGAGAAATCTGAGAAATTTGGTTTATTAGCACAGGATTAATGGAGCACAGCTTTGTGGTCTTTTTGATGGACATGTTCAAGCTTGTAAATTGATCTGTTATTCCATGGATATAATTGTGGGAAATTTTGCCTATATTTTCTATAAAGACAATTTTTCTTCATTTCAGGCAGCAGATTTTTGCAGCCTTCACAGAGGAGTTTCTGGCAGCACCTTTTACAGATCAGATATTCCATTTCATCATTCCAGCGCTTGCTGATGTGCAGACCATTTTCCCTTATGAACTCTTTCTGAATGCACTATTAGTAGCAGAAAGTGGATGTTCAAGAAGTGATCAAGCCCCATGGCTTTTTTACTTTGTGTTAACAGTTGGAGAGACATATTTGGGTGAGAAAGTTAAATAGCCAATTCATTGCTTTTTCATATTTGAGTTAATATGCTATGTATTTCCACAATGTGGTTCATTGCCAAGCAAAAAGGACAGTTTGTGCATAAAAGTATTGGAGAGAGCTGTTTTATTAGCTGTTCTTACACTCTTCAGTAAAAAATACACTTAATTTGGGAAGATTCGGCATAATGTGTTTTGGTCAGGTATTTCTGGTAAAATATATTTTATAGTACAGTGTGATCTGGCTAACGATCTTTTATTTCAATGTATGTGCTATAGGGTCCCTTTCAGAGGAAGGACTTCTTGTGTATTTGAGGGTACTCCAAACTTTTCTCTCTCAGCTGCCTGTGTCTACTGCTGGTACAAATTGTCAAGATGCAAACAGTGATTCTGAAGATGAGGATGAAGAGATCAGTAAAATGACAACTACACCAGTAAGCACTACAGAATTTCTTTGAATGGATTTGTATTATAGCAGCAGCAAATACAGGCAAAAATACGATCACCGTAGTCCAGTATTTTTCTAGCTACGTGTAGAAGGGAGCATGTTTACTTCTTAAAAATAGATGGCTGCTCACTATAAGCAAATGGAACCGGTTGCTTACATTAAAAACAAAACCCTTACTATAATAAGAAATCTTAAAGTACAGGTAGTGTGTCTGCTGAAGGACAGAGCTTTTATTTAACAAAAAAAGTTTAAACTTCTTTAGATTTTTGTATTTTACAGAGACTGTGTCACTCTGTATTCTTTAAGTCTGTGATGATGCTAAGGTATCATGAAAGATAAGAATCTGATCTTCCAAATTAGTATTTTATTTTCTTTTTTTTTTTTTTCTTGTGGAAATATTAAAAGTTCAACTACAGTCTTTACCCTGTAGAATTAGCTCTGTATTTAAATATATCCAGCACCTTGAAAGCCCTCAAAGGGGGCACACCTGTTTTCTATAATAATGTATAGAGACTGTATTATAAATAGAACTTTTCACTGTAGTTTAAACTTCCACCAGTAAAATGAATCTGCGCTAACTTTAACCTCCTAACACTTGGATCAAGGCTCTGCACAGCCAAAGTTGGAGAGACATAAATTCAACAGTTTCTCACTGGCCTTTGTATAATCTCTCAGAAGACACTACCATTCAAAGGACTTACACAGTGTGCCATCTTTCTTTGTGGAATGTGTGAAATTTCAACATATTTAGGGTTCATTAAAAAAAAAAAAGCCTCATAGATTATTTTGCCTCCCCACACTGAGCTGGGAATTCTGAATTTTTGTCTCGGGTGTTCTAAGGCTTCCTGGCATTTTCTTGGTTAAGTGTTGAAAGCAAAAGTGTACGAGCTTTTCTAAGAGTTACTGTTCCTATAATGCCTACTTATATTTAAAGTAAGGTGATGTACATTTCTGAAAGATGCAGCATTTTTAAGACATCGATATTGAGAGTAACCTCTTATAAAGAGCCATACTGCTGGGGAATACATGCAGCCTTTTACTTCTGCATTTTTAGATGCAGTGTGTTGCTGTTAACCCAAAATCTTTACCAAGATAGTGTGAATAAAATACTTAATTTGCCAGATAGACACACACTGTATGTGATGTAAATATTGGCAGATTCCACTTGTGGCTTAGAGATATCGGTGATGTTTAAGAGGTAATTAGGTAAAAACAAAGCATAAATTCCCGTTCACAGTTAACTTAGAGTAATTTGTAAATTAGAGAAGATCTGCTCTGTGTAGGCTTTAATACATAATACTATTTATTGCATTATGTTTTTCATGTGTTTTGCCTGTAAGTTTTTGTATTCCATATTTTTATGCATGCCTGTCTTACAAAAAAAACCCCAAAACAGTGGGGGGCTTGTTGGGGATCACCTCTTTCTTAAAAGTTCTTAATGGGATAACTTGGACCCTTCAATGAGCCAGACTGCTTTGCTCTGTTGGGGGCAAAATAGAGAGAATCAATAAGGAACAGAAAAGGTTGAACTCCACCTAGTTCTATACCAAGAGAAAGCATTCCCCTTCCTATGCTTCTGGTACCCCCCAAACATGTGTTAGCCCCCCTGAAGTTTTTTGTTGTATTTTAACCAATGGATTATGAATGTGAAAATACTGTTTGTAAAGGAACTTAGAGTAGGCATCAATTTCTGGATTTCACGTTCAGTGCTGACTGATGTCAGTGGGGAAGAGATGACTATTTGCATATTTTATGCAAGTAAATGATCTGGCCTTATTGTATCCAAGTTTTGCAGAACATGCTTACATGAAAGGGAGTCTTTCCCACTGGCCTTAGTGAAAAGATCAATACCACAACCCAACAGTTGCCCACCTAAGGATTTAAGTTGGCTCTTGGGTCTGATATTTTTAAGAATGCTACTGGGGTACACAGATATGATTACGTTTTAATTACTGTACAAGAAAAATTTATGCTCTAGTAAAATTCTGAAGTATTATTTTCTTTAAAAAGGGGATACTTGATCATTAAAAAGACTTAAAGCAAATTTTTCTTTGGTATGTTTGTAGGGTGATGGGAGAATATCAGTTCAGTACATAACTGAGGAGTGTCTAAAGAAATTAGATACAAAGCAGCAGACAAATACTCTACTGAATATGGTTTGGAGAGATTCAGCTAGTGAAGAGGTCTTTACCCTGATGGCATCAATCTGCCACACGCTAATGGTACAACACCGAATGATGGTGCCAAAAGTCAGGCAAGTATAAATAATAGTGATGTTGAGCTGTGATACATCTAAAATTGGTTTTAGTAGAGAGATGTGTTTTAAATACCCTGTGGGTTTTTTTTCTGTTTTCTTTTATGATCAGCTGAAATCAGTAAGAATTTCAGAAGTTAAATAATAATTCCAGGCAAACCAAAGAGTGGTTTCTTTCTGTTTCTTCTTTTTCTTCTTATTCATCGTGTTCTCTCTGGAGTAATCACTGAGTCCAGAAGTGTAAGCTCTTGGTTTGTTTAGTGAGTTGCAAATAAGTTAGCATTCTGTCACCACATTGAGGACTATGGAACAGGTAGCGTTTGTGAAAATCACACACAAATAGGGATTGCAAGGATTCTTGAAAGGAGTTTTATCTGTCCCCTTGCTCAGAAGCATTGTTAAGTGTCATTGTAGTAGAGGTTTGCCTAGCTTGCTTTTAAAACTTTCAGTGAAATGGATTCCATGGTCTCTCTAGCTAGCTGAGCACTGAAACCAACTTGTTCTCTACCCTCTTTAATATACAGCAAAATCTCTCTTGCTACAAGTTAAAGTGATTCCTAACTATTGAGAATCACTGTTGTTTGGGAAGGGCTTTGGCACCTGAGAAGGAGATAAAAGACTTGTTCATTTGTACAGGATTCTTTTACAGAGACTGCAAACAACGTCAGTAACAATGGAAGAAGATTTTTGACCTTTTTATTATCAGACTAAGACCCATAAGTATTAACACTGTTTTGTGCAAGTAGTTTTGAATAAGTATGTAGTTGCTGGTAGTAAAGTAAGTATTTAGGGAATGTTGTAAACATAATCAATTCAAACTGCATTGTAAACAGTGATACGGAAAACTAATTAGGTGCTATCTTAGCCCAGTGGTGTTTATAGCTGTTAGAGGAAGTAAGATGTCAGTGAAACTGTGATTGCTCGATTAGGGTAATTAGTTCTTTGTAGACTAATTGCGTTAGAGCAGGATGTGAGACCTGAAGATCATAGCAGCAGTTGAATTAGTATGCCTGCTTTATTGTTGCAAGTACTACATTGCCTTGGATAGTAATTACTGAGTTTAAATGCATCACTGCTTTGACTTCAGGTTTGCTGGTGAACTGTGTGGAAAAGGGTGTTTAATGAATAAAGAAGTCAGAACTTTAATTGTATGAGTATGGCATCTATTTCCTCTGAGAAGCCATACTGGGTCTTTGCAATTATTTGTGATAACAAGCTAGTTACACATTGGATAAATTCAGGAGTTATGAAAGCTCTACTCAACATCTTATAATGGAAAGCAATTTACAAATTTTAACTTTTGAATAGCTCCAAAATAGTTGAATGTACCAATTTTAGCAGTAAGTAGTAAAGATGCTAAGATTTGTGTCAGTAATACCAATGGCATTACTTTCATGGTCAAAATGAAATTAATTCATACAGGTATTTGGTAAATTAATGTAGACATTTAATTATGAGTTCTGACTTCCAAGTCAGTCATAAATGTTGGGTTTGCCAGGCGTCATCATATCAGGAGGTGTCAATTTTTTATCCTATTCTTAGTGCATTTTACACCTGGCCTAAGTTACCAAGCAGCTATTCTAAACATTATTTTTGAGGGTTTTTTCAAAGGACATTTGATGCTTGTTTTAAAGGTAGTAAACATTGTGCCATTTCAGAAGACAATTAAAAGATTTTTTTTGTCATTAATTTCCACTTTTTTTAATTGCCTGTGATTTTTTTATTGCCCAAATGATTTTGTCAAATTTAATGATGGTCTTTTGAAAGATGCTTCACTTGTTTTGAAACTAACTTTTGAATTATTTAATATTCAAAGTGTATCTATTTAATTAAACCATGTAGAAATAGTTAAGCAGAAATAATTTATTTAAAAATATTTTTAATATATTCTAAGAGCTCAAAAATGCTCTTTTATTTTCTGTTTGGAAACAGACTGGGTCAAATGGTTTGAAAGATTGAAAAGGTTGTTACAAAGACTCTGGTTATTTAAGAGTATTTACAACTGTAATAGAAAATTATAATTAAATATAAAGGCTGCAGATCTGCAAAGTGGGATGCTAAATAGAGAGAGTAGTAACTGAAAACTTTTGAATAGAGAAAATGAGGCTCAAGTTAACACAAGCTTTGGAAGGGAGGAAACAACAAGTATCTCTGTATTGTTTTAATACTTCTGAGGCTTTTTTCCTTCTTGAAAAAAGATAAGAAACTCATAGTATAGACATATCACTCCATTAAAGCTGAATGCTTTTTCTTCTTGTGGCTTCTTAGTACATCTTTGATTTGCCTGATGATGATACTGTGTGGCGTTAGGAACCTTGGTGTTGCTGCATTATCTCAGTGGTTTCTTTGGTTTTGCAGCAGAGACCAAGAGAGAACAGAACAAGATACCCAAAAGTGCAGTGTAGTTTTGAACTGTGGGAGCAAGCCTCTAAAGTTCCTTTCTGATTCTCTACAGAGAGTGGTGGGATCCAGAGGTGGATTACTGGAAAAGCACATTGCTTTGGGTTAGTCGTTAGGAATTTGGATAAATTCTGAACAAGTTCTGGAAAGATGCAGTCAAGCCCAGTTAAAGAAAAAGGCCGCAAGCCTGGAAAAACCTAGCTGTAGCTAGCGTTCAGTAAGCCAGATGAGAGGCGTAGGATAAAATCCTGATTGTAATGAAGTCATTGGGAATTGTAGTTGTTCTCAAAGGGCCAGGGCTTTCATCTTTTCACTGTGAAGTTGATACATATTATTGAATACAGTTATTAAAAAAAAATAAAAAAAAAAGAAAACTTGAGTCTTGGAGCATAGTTCTCATTATAAAGACATTTGTAAGACTTTGCTTATCAAAACTACACTTTAACTAACTAGTAAATTCTGTCTCTGCACAATATTTAGGGGCGTAATTTAATACCATAGACTTCAGGTCATCACTGTGGCTTAATATTAAATAGTGATGGAAACCGTGCTTGTACTGGGACTTCAGTTGCTATCAGCTGTCTGCTCAGTGCCCCAGAGTGATTCCTAACCTTGGTTTAAGAGTTTCATAGTGCCCGTACATTACTACTGTTTAATTAACATAACACTGCTAATCTTAGCCTCTGGTTGAAAATTGTTTGGAAAACTGACGTTCTGGTGTAATATGAGCAGCCTGTCTTTATACGTGTGTGCTGAAGATACTAAGGCTTTGCATGAGGCTATTTTAGTAGTTCTTTAGGGAATGTTCTTAAACTGTTGTTTTTTTCTTAAAACCAGAATCATTATATATGAAGTTTTAACTTTTTTTTTTTTAAGCTTCGCTTTCCATTCTTGGCCCAATACAAAGAGAGGCAGAAGCATAAAGCAGCCTAAAGTGCAGCATAGTTCATTTAACGATGGCTTTGCACGCTGTCTCATACCTGTGACACCTTGCAGTTCTGAAGTGTCAAAATCCACTGCCCTGGCAGCAGTGACCTTTCACAGACTGTATGAGCTCCTCTCATTCTAGTGTATTCTCTTCATTAACTTAAATGGTCTCAGTGGGAAACTGGGCCCAATTTATGACCTAGACTGAAAATCTTGCCTTTAACTAATTAACTTGTAGTGGTGCCTCAGCTAAATTAAGCTTAATGGGTCATTTAATCTGTCCCATTGCGCAGGAGGAATTTGACACTTTTTTTTAAACCAGGGGTGCCCAAAATACTGTTTTGACAAGTACACATAAATCATGTGGCCTTTGTGGACAATTAGATACCTACAGAGAGAAACAAGGTTCTAAATAAATGATTGTTATGTACTTACTTTTGGGAGCAGATAATATAATTTGGTATGATTAAAATAGGTACTTAACAGTAATCACTGGAGTGAATTTAACTCTATCATAGCCTGTGGCTGAGACAGTGTGCATTTTTCCACTTCAAAGGAGCTTACCCTTTCTGGTAGTAGAAAAATGGTTCTTCCAAATTACAGTGGTAAATCTAAATATTGAACTTTACAGAAAATCTATTAATGAATCCATTATATAAACCCATGTATAATGATCTCATAATAAAGAAGTTGGTGGTATGCAGTGAGATTTTCAAGAAAATGCAGATGGAAGGGGTAAAACCCCAATGTTTAAACTTTAGTTGCTTGGTTTGTTTTTAGAATAGTACAAATATTGGAAATGAAACCCCTGAGTTAGATTATAAAAATTTACATGAAAAGAAATAATGTCTAATCTTTTTGTTTTCTACTGTTTGTGTGTGTGTTTTTTTCTTTAAAGGAAAAGGTACTCCAAGACTGTATGGACACTCAGGCTTTACATTAACTGATCTCTAAACTTTGTGGGTTGATAATGCTTTGTCTTCAGGGTATATAAGCTATCCATGTAATGTTCTGTGGTTTATCAGGAATTATTATCTTGTGCTGCATCATTTTAATGTAGTTCTATCTGGAAATGCTGGTTTTTAGCAGATGCATGTCTTTTCTCTGCCAAAGAAAAAGACCAAATGAGGTAGATTTTGACCAATTTTAATTCTCAGTGTTTTTATTTTTTGTTTTTAATTTTTTATTTGAAAAGTTTTTAGGCTTTTTTTATGTTGTTGGGGTTTTTAGGGTTTGGTTTTTTTTTTTTTTTTAGTGGGAAGCCAAAAATTTTGAAACTCTTTAGTACACCTGATTTCGTGAACTTTTGCAGAGATGTGACTTTTCAAGGCTATCCTTGCATTGTGGATTTTTTAGGTTACAATTTTTAACTTCTACTTTGAAAGCCAATTTCTATACTTGGGGTGGGGGGGTGGTAGGCTGTTTCTGCTGTCATTCCTTTTGCATTGGATTATATTTCAGGTGAATCTAATGGTGTGAAATTTTTGTAACACAAGTCCTAATTCACCCTTCTGTGTTTAGTTTGCAGTTTCATGTTTATTTTCTGGTGACAGTACAGAAATGTTAGAAATTATGGACTCATCTGCTTCATATTTCATAGGTATTTCATATTGACAAAACAGGCTGTATGATAACATCTTCTGCCAAATTTGCATTTTTGTATTTAACCAGATTTTCAGGGAAGGGAAATGTGAATACATTGAGCATTTCTGGAATTGGGCCATGAAATAACAGCAGTTGGTACAATTGACTGCCTGAATCACGGATATGGAATAAAAGGTTATTAGACAAAGGTTATTATTATAAGCTCTTAAGGTTTGTCCTTTTTTTCCCTTCATTATTGCTGAATATTGCTAGAATGAAAAAATGGATTACATTATGATAGGTTCAGTGTCCATAATGTTTGTTCATTTCTGCTAAAACTATTACATAATTTCCAGGGATGATTGTAAAATTAACAAATTTTTACTTGGAAGCCCTATGAGACCTAACGGCACTGTGCCAAATTACTTTTCATTTCAAATATGAGGCTGAAAACTGAAGGTCACTGAGGAAATTTCTCATTTCAGAAACCAAGACATCTGAGCTATCATTCAGATATTTAAACATTAAAACACGAATCCTTATTCTAAATTAGCTAGATATAATAAGCCCTTCTTTACATGATATTGCATAATTCCACCCAAATGTCAAAATAATGTGATTTTAGAAGGAAGTGAAATTCCCATATATCAAATTCAGGTTGAATTTTTTTCAAAAATTACACATATTTAAAGTAGAACTTAATTTTACAGTAAAACTTATATTAAACTGGCATTAGCTGCAGTTGCTTCAAATTTGACTCAGACTTAGTAATCATCACCACAGTGCAACTTCTCTGGAATATGTGAAGCTCCCAACTCTTTTTAAAGGTACTGATCTATGTATTTAAAATTCAAAGTTTTTGAAACAAGAGGGGTGATATTTCAGCAAAGAAGCACCGCAAACCAGAGGTTGCTTGTATTTCATTTTCCCTTCTTCTGCATGCCCCCATTCTATTTCTGACACTCCCTGTACCTGTGAAATTCTGTCCTTTCTGATTAGTGAAGAGTTCTGCCCTTCCTCGTGCTGCTTCATCCTCGCACAGTTCCTTTCTGTGCAACTGGCTTTTGGTGAATGCATGTGTGAATTGAGAGCCCAAAGAAGGGACTAGCTGTGTGGATGCATGAGAGAGGCTGTACTTCTGCAAAGGCACCAAAAAGAGCCCTCAGGTCTTCAGCAGCCAGAAAGCGAGGACCCAGAGGCATATGGCACTATGCAGTATTTGTTTGTGAGTGGGCGTGTAGATTTTCTTGTGTTTTCTTTTGTTTTAATGTCTTTAAATGAATTGCCACTTAAACTATTCTCATATGTTTTTAAGTGTTTACCGATATTTTACTTTTTCCTTAATGAAATGTGTGCTTCCTTTCCTTTTGCCATCTGGCAAATTTTAATTTATCCATGTGGTCCATAGTAAATATTGTTTTTTCAAGCAGCAGCTAGTCTAACCTCCCTGCTCCCATTTCGCAGCCTCCTACCTCTTGTACGCATGGTCACAGGGAATTTTTGATATTAATGAGGTTATTGACCTCTGAGAGGAGATGTGGACCTGAGCATCTGTTTAACCTTATTTATTCTCATAGTAATTAGGAGACCTAGGAAAGTAGCATTTAGGATAACTAACTGAACATAGTTCTTCAATATCTGAAAAATGACAGTTCATTCAGTCAAATCCTGTTTGGTTTCCTAGAAGACGGTAATTGTTTCAAATTATATTTGTCACATATGTTGTTTCCTGCAGGGTTAAAAATAGGCTGGGGGAGACTTCTTAATTCCAAGAAGCTTTTTATTTCTTGTTTCTATAAAAAGTTCATCATGCTGTAATCATGTCTGAAATAATATGGTTAAAGTCAGTCCTGTATACAACTGACTTGTGAACATATATATTTAATTTTACAGGTATATAAACCATTCTCTGTCTGCAGATAAATTAGTGTATGTGTATGGGTACCTGTCCTGATAGACATTGTTCCATTGATGTTGTATATTTATATCTGTCATGCAGAATATACCAGTAAAATTGTTGCATAAATTTAAATCAATAGTTGCTTCTAGCATAAATTAACTTTAAGGTATTTTAATCTACTTTTTGCAAAAATTGCTATGTTTGTTAATGTCAGAAGAACCACAGAAGTGACCTCTTAACTAGTTGATGTGATTTTCTATATTAGAATTTTAAAAAATCCCAGATAAATAACTCAGAGTTTATGCTATTAATGTGTGTTTAATTCTGTGCAATACTGCAAACTTGGATTTATATTGTGTAGTTTGTTGCTGAGTTAATGAACTGTGTATTTTAGGTATAAGGATTTATAGGCTTGTTTTTCAGCTTGTGGGGCTTTCACCAGATTTGATTAGAATAAGAACCTCCATCTTGAAAGAATAAATCTAATTGTTAATGTTTGAGAAATGCTTGACAGAAAAGTTCTTATAGAAGCATTGTGTTCTGTGAATACAGTATTTTGGAAGACAATTTATTTGAACTTCCTCTTGCAGGCTTCTTTATAGTTTAGCCTTTAATGCCAGATTCCTGAGACATCTTTGGTATTTGATATCTTCAATGACTACACGAATGATTACAGGGTATGTATTATACCATTTCTGAAACTCAGTCTTTGTTAAAGTAGAGCATATCTAGTGAAAAGAGAATGAGACAATTAGTGGTATAACAGTGCTCGTGGAAGATGATTAAAAACAAAACTGTAATGGTTACTTAGCTCCTATGATTTCATAAAACTCAGCAAAATCTTGACGATTGGATAGTTGTAAATAATTACAGGTAAATAAATAAAATCTTTATTTAAAATAAGGTGGATGTTTTGTAGTTTTTGGAGTGCTTACTAGCATCAATATAACAAACACCGAAGCCCCAAGTACATGAGTTTTATCTCACATACTTTGACTAGTCCAGAAATTGATGGTGGCAAAAACACGTTCCCAGGAACTGAGGCATTGGACCCACAGATTTGTTCTGTGCTGACGTGCAGATTAATCACTCTTTGCTTCATCTCTCTGTTCTAAACTAGAATGTATCTGCATTCTGTAATAGTTAATGCCAGAGTTTATATATCATCAAGACGCTGAGATACTATAGTGACAAGAATTTACAAAGAGTAAACTTACTTTGCAAGAATGGGGAATAGTAGTTACTTAACTGAGAGCACCGTCCTTATTTTGCTGTAGGAACTACTACTAAATATTTTTACTAGAAAGCTGAAGTTTATACTTTTTTAGAGTATTTAATTAATCATCTCTTTAATTTTGCATTTTATATTTTAAGGTCTATGGTGCCACTCCTTCAAGTGATTTCAAGAGGCTCTCCAATGTCTTTAGAAGATTCCAGTCGAATTATCCCTCTCTTCTACCTTTTCAGTTCTTTGTTTAGTCATTCACTTATTTCTATTCATGATAATGAATTCTTTGGTGATCCAATAGAAGGTGAGTTTCAGGCATACTAAATAGCAGTGCTTTGCAAAATGTTTTTGTGTAAGGCTGCAGAGTTCCCTGGTAATGATTTGCTGACATCTATGGGGAAGGCTCTTCTAGACTGACTTGCTGATAGTCCCCTGAGCACTCAGCTGTCGGCTAGCTCTTTCATGGTGATTGCATTTAGAAAAAAGAGGAAAAAAAAATGATAGTCTGCACCTTGGGAACCCTAGCTTTACAGGGTCTGATATGGAAGTTCTTAATTGTGATATTTTTTAATGAGTTAGTGAAGAGAGTGAAGTTCTTCTGGACTGAACCTGTAGTCTAATGGAAAAATTTAACATAGCAAGAATCACGAAATAGAGTAAGAGAATATTGTAATTAAAATCATTGTGACTGCGAACAATTACAAGACCTGATCACCTTTATGAATGTATACTAAGTCTCTTTTTGGGTGATGTTTCTTTTCTGTACCTTCAGATTTTGTGTGTGAATATTAAAGTTTTAATGAAATAAATGATTTTTTTTTTTTTTTAATAACAAAGTATTAAGAAAAAGTCGTTTAAGGAAACTTGTGTTTATGTAGTTGTAGGTCAAAGACAATCATCAATGATGCCTTTTACACTAGAAGAGCTTGTAATATTATCACGCTGCCTTCGAGATGCATGTTTAGGAATCATAAAGTTGGCTTACCCAGAAACAAAACCAGAGGTTCGTGAGGAATATATTGCAGCATTTAGAAGTGTTGGAGTAACAAAAAATACGGAAATGCAGCAATGTATACAGACGGAACAAAAAAGGTGGATTCAGTTATTCAAGGTAAATTGTGTCAATTTTCAGAATATTCTTAAAAATTAAAGGCTTCTGCTGAAGATGTGAGATTAAGGGTTTGTTTGTTTTTTTTCTCTGATTATACTTTTAACACAATTATTACAAGGAATACGGATTTTGGAAGGTTGCTTTTTGGCATATATGCTAAACTTAATTAATTTCTGTAATTAAATTCTGATAACCGTAACAATTTATTTTTGCTTCTGGCAACTTTTAATTTATTTTCTTGCTTATCCTGTTTACAAAAAGTGACTGTGTACAATATAGGTTTTAACTTGGAACTCACATTCAGCAAGGTACTTAAGCATGTCATCATAACTTTATTTAGGTTTGAAATTCTGACTGAATCACGTGATTACTCGAGTACTGTGTTAGAGGCTTCACTTAATTGGTACCATGCTGTATTGTTGGTTTTCTGCTAAAATTTGTTGGTACTACTCCTTTTGGGTTTGCTGTAATACTAAAGGGATGGTGAATCCGGCTTGGCAAATGTAAACTTAATATATGTTCTTTCTGGATATCTACCAATGTATTTCTGTTAGTTTTATCCATGGTATCTACCTCTAAGACATGAGTTAAGAGAAGCTGAAAACGTTGGCAGGAAAAAACCTAATATAACTGTTGCCGAAAAAAAGGAGTGCTTGACTTGTCATGAAAATTCTGCAGCAAACACATCTAGTCAGCTAAAATTGCTCATTAAAGAAGTGGGAGCAGAAGAAATGCATTTTCCAAATTGAATGCTAGATTTACAGTCTGTTTAATACTGGCGACCTCTCGCACACTAATGTTCAGTTCGAGTCATCAGCTGTCCCTTCAGGTCTTTTTATCACTGCTTTTGTCAAGCTATCTATTTAATTGAAAGAAGTTAATTGAATGAAAATGATCAACTAAGCTTGTATTAATATTGCTAATGGAACTTTCTTCTTGGCCATGTTTGGAGAAAGATGTCATGCTAGACTTTAGGAAAGGCCCATTAAGGCTTGCACTTAACCTGATGGGCTAATTAAGGAATGCTTATTCATTCTACAAGTCTAAGATAGCCTCTCTCCAGCCTATTCTGCCTGATTTTACAACACATTTCACTTATGAGCATAAGCATTAATAGCTGTGAGAGTAACTGATAATGTTTTGATTGCATTGAATACAGTCCTAATGCACCACTGAATTTGTAATTTGCATGGATTGATCTAATATATGTTTGCACAATTTAATTTAATTACTTGTCTTTAAATTGTCAAATAAACTTTCGATTTAAAGGTCATGAGTGAAAACCCCAATATGTCTGTTTTTCTAAGAAGGAGGTTGTGCTAGGAGTATTTTTATGTATGCAGTTTATACCATGCCATCTTCTATTTCTTCTCTTTAGTTTGTCATATTTAATCATTTTTTTATAAGCTGCTTACATTTCAGGTGAATTTGTTCACATTTTGCTGTCATTCAGAGAGTTGTAAAATCCCGACTTAGTCTGTCCCACTTTGGCAGTCATGAATTAAACTCATAGTGGAACAGTCTAAACTTCGTGTATTGTTACTATTTTCAGGAACAAGGGTTGTCTTCCATTAGCTGAATTATGAATGTAAATCTTGAGGGTTTCTCAAAGGCCCTGGTTCTACCCAAAAAAGTAGCTGATAACAAAGCTTCCCTTGTTTACTCCTTCAGAAATACATTGTTACAGAGAAAAATTCAACACAGCTAAAGTTCATCTCATCAAGAAGACTACTGTACACAGCATTGAGTCTTTCCTGAGGGCAGCTTCAAAATAGCTTCTTGCCAGTAAGCAGGCAGCAATATCCTCTTCCAAATCGTTAAAATAAAGCTAAACTAGTTACTCATAAATTTAAGTAGAAAATACTTTTCTTTCTTTTACACTGTGTCAAATAAATGAGAGATTTATCTTTGCTAAAGCTTTTGCAAGCTGCCTGCAGAGAAGGCACGTTCCTTCCCTATCATCTATGTTTTTCTCTTTTTTCTTTTTTTAATTTCTCACACTTGTTTTGCGTATTTTCCGTGCCACTGGTGTCTAATGAAATACATTCCTGTGTATGTATATATATATATATATACACACACACACAAATACAGGCTTTACTTCTGCAAGGTAATGGTAGATCTGAAAACAGTGAGGCTGCTGACGATGTACTAATTTGCTGACAGATTGGAGGTCTTTGGTAAGATTTACATGTGAAAATGTCTTTATTCAGCAGGATTCCCCTTTTTTTGGCTTGGTACAATATTGAATAGTGTAGTCAACTGTTACAGATTCCATAGAAGCACTTAAGTTATGAGTACATGAAAATGGATTTTGTCAAGTAAAATAATTATTTCACTATCATGAGTTAATCCTATGACATTAAGTTGCTAATTTTGCTGAATTTTAGTTTTGAATGTTACTTGCATTTGGTGCTTTATTGGAAACGAATCCCCATTTTAATATTATTTATTGAAGTGGGTCTTCCCTTTCAATAAAATACATACTTATATGAAATTTTACAAAGGAGTCCTGATTTTAGATTGCTAGCGTTCTCAGTCCTCATTCATTATGTAGAAGAAACTCCAATCTCACCTAATTTGATTCAGCTTCCTTTAAGGAGTCTTCAGCTGTCTGTAAAGTATTTTATTAGCATGGTCTTCACGTGGATAATTTTTTCTTTTTTTTTTTTTCTCCTTTTTTTTATCTTTCTCTTATGTATAGTGGTAATGGGACCACAGAGCTTCAGTGACTCCTCTAACCTGCACTGAATTCTATAAGGGCAAGGTGATAAAAATTCCAGTGTAATCAGACAGTTCCCTTAATAGCGTTCTTTGTCTTTATTCAAGACATTACTTTACAAACTGGATCTTAAAAGGTCTTTTGTGTAGTATCTAGACACAGAATCCTTTAGAAGGCTCATTAAACAGTTTGTTACTTTTGACACCTGCCCATTAAGACTGTCTTTTAGCAAGATGACTTCAGAAGAGCTTTGTGTATGTTTTTTTCCCATTCATTTTTCAAGTGCTGTAGTTCTAAGTTGCAAAACAGATGGCTGTTCATTGTAGCAGTGATAACGTCTTTTTAGGCTAGTAATTTAATGTTCTATTGATTCCACTTAATTATGTTTTATGTAGTGTTGGGCTAAGTTGGTTCTGCTTTGGAGAGAAGGCATGCAACCAGGTATGACAATTGTGCTTGAGATGGAGTAGTTGTTAGCTTGATATCTCTACTCCTCCCCGCCCCACGCCGGATTGGAGGAAACTGCCAAGAAAAATACTAAAATTGCAAAGACACTGTAGTGACCATGATAACCATTTTTCTCAGCCTCCCAATTTTGTTGCGAAGATGTGCATAAACTAGTTATCTATTCAGTTTTCTCATTTTCTGACTGTATGGTTATAATAATGACAGAATTACCTTGTGAATTCCTTGTGAATAAAAATTAATTAAATGTAGTGGTTTAAACTAATGTGCCTGTGGTTGGGTGAAGTATGGGTGTATGCATCATCACCCACTATGGTTCAGCTGATAAGCAAAAATTTGTTAAACCACTGTGACTAGGTGGTTTTCAGGTAAATGTTTATACCTTCTGTTGGAAAAGGGCTTACTAACTTAACACACTAAAGGGCTTTTACCTAGCACATTGTAAGTAGCATTATGATAATACAGTGTATATGTGCATATTAAATGAAAATTACAACCAGCCACCACACACATGTATTTTTAGGACTGTGGGTGCTTTTTATGCTTCTTATGGTGATCAGCAGAAGAATATTTGGTGACCATCCTTCTTCTAGAAATGGTCATCTTCTAATCTGCTTTCAGGCATGTTTGGGCTAGGCTCTTCTCAGGAGTGATTTTTACTTTCTGAATCTGGTATGTTGAAGCCTTTAACAATCTTACGGTACGGTTTACTGTACGGTATAAACAACTGAGCTAGTCACACTAGGATCTGTTTTAATAGAGACGAGAACTTGGAGGGTACAGTTAATTTGATAAATTGTTAGCTACTTCTGGATGAGATGATAATTTTTTCTGTAGCCAGCTTTGAAAACACTTAAGAAGATATTAATTGACAAGAAAAGGAACCTGTAGTGTCTTTTCAGATGTAGACCTTTACCCTTAAAAATATCAGCATTTGTTTTTTCACATGCATAATTACCTCCGTGTCTGGTGAGGTGATATCATTGAAGATTCCTCTGAGGCACCGTTAGCTGGAAATGCTTTAGTTTGTTAATACAGCAACCAGAAGCAGTCAATCTTTCATGTACTTTAGAGATGTAACTTCTGCTGTTATGTTTTGCTGCCAATTTAATGCTTCTGCCCTCTCCTTCTCTACTTTCTGAAGTTGATGTTGGCTTTTGTACAGTTTGACCATTGAGAAGCACATCACATGATCTTTTGCTGGCTAGTTAGTTAAGTTTATCGACTATAGGCAGAAATACCCACTGTTTATTAGTTGGTCCTTCAGATTTGCCTAGTGTGGAGTGATATATGTGACCTTTGTCTTGAGACAGCAAGCAAAAGTTCCATTCTTCCATGGAGCATTTTCCTTAAAAAACCATGCACAGAAATTTAAGAATCTTCCTCTTTGTGGACAAAGAAAACCTACTAATCAGCCAAATTGTTCAGAATCTCAGGTTTGGAATGAGAGGTAGTAAAGAATAGTTATATAGCTCCCTCTTCTAAAACATACATCTATTCACACATTTCATTTCTGAAAACCTATATAAGCAAAAAAAGAAAAAAAAATTCTCTGTAAAAGGTCATTGTATAAATTACCTACTTAGGTGTTACTTTCTTCAAATAAATAATTTAATGCTGGTAATGATTTGTTTAGGCTTCCCTGAACTGGCGTACAACTTCTTAGGTGTGCAGGGTAGTCCTAGGATTACTTAGTACTAGGTAGTCCTGGTTCTTAGGTTTTGGAATGAGACTTTAATAAGCCAATTTTTTTGATGACTTACAAGTGAACCACAATTACTTACTCACATTCTAAGGTATTTAAAAGAGCAAGTTTTTGTAAGTTAAAAATACGTAATAATTTCATACATTACTGAAAGATTTTTCCTAAGCTTTTGCTTGTGGATTATACAATTTCATTCACAGTGTTAAATGTATATTCAGTGTCTGTGTTTCTGACACCTAGGTCATCACAAACTTAGTGAAAATGTTGAAATCGAGAGATACAAGGAGAAATTTCTGCCCACCAAATCACTGGCTCTCAGAACAAGAAAACATTAAAGCGGATAAGGTAAGAGTAATATCCTTTTTCCACATAGCCTTACAGGTGCCAAAGTTTCAATGGTAAAGTGTTTGATTCCTGACAGTATCAGTGATGTTGATGTTGCACAGATTTAGTGTGGTTTAAAACCTGGAGTAATGCTGCTTTTCTGTAATGTAAAAGTCTTGCGTCTGTTAATAAACTTCTACGCTAAATCACATTTCCAGTCCATAAAGTAGAACTTGCTCTACGGTGTGACAGTGTAAGTCATCTGCATTTATAGCAGGGGAGAATTGAAAATCTGGTAGCATGTTGTTGCATTTCATTTTCAAGTTATTTGAAGTACTTTTCATAATAAAAATTCTAAATAAAGAATTGCTCTAAAGTGGGGAAAAATCCCTCGAAATTCACTTCCAAATTAAAAGAAAATTCAGTAGCATTTTCTGTACTTACGTCACCGAGAAATTACTTTTTTTTTTAAGAACTTTTGAAAAAAATGACATTGAGCTTAAAAAGTGTGTATGAGCGTGCAAAAGAGAACGCTAACACGATGTGCAAGTACCTCCTTTGAATCATTGGAAACGTGGATCTTAAGAAGTTAGTTACAGCTCAGATAGACTACCTTGCACAATTAGATGTCTTAACTAGGAAGTTTTGCACGGAATAGTTAACAGTGAACTCTTCTGTTTATTTTTGGTGGTTGCACGTTTGCTTGCCTTGTGTTCAAGATTTCCATTTTTCTGTGTGACAGTTCTTTATAATTCTTAGGAAATAGTGCCTACACACCTTAGAGAAAGTATTAGTAGTCTTAAACCATGATGCTAACCTGATTCTCAACACAAAGTAAGCAGAATTTATTTGACACCTCGAAATTCAAACTCAGCTTCTCTAGTACCTTAAATACCAGAATTTAATGTAACACTGCATGGTATTTTTAAATGATACATGGACTTTGTATTACATTGCTGTTAATTTTGCAGCTGAGCTTTAAGGCACATGTATAAGGAAGAGTGATTAGAAATTAAGATACTTAGGCATTCAGACAATATTATGTATTTACTGTGTAATAGTAAATTGCAGTATGTAATTAGATAATGTTTAACTGTAAAATACTGTTAATTTATCAGGTTACACAGCTGTATGTGCCATCTGCTAGACATGTCTGGAGAGTCAGAAGAATGGGAAGAATAGGACCATTGCAATCTACTTTGGATGGTAAGATACTGTCTGTGCAATTTTTGCTTTACTGAGTCAAAATAACAGTTTGCCTTATGCAAAGAAAATCTACCTTTTATAGAGCTCAGTTGAGTATTTTGTATAAAAGTCTTAATGATAACCAAAATCAAGGCAATCTTTCATAATTTTGTTTCAGATATTTTAAAAAAAGTGTATTTGTATACGTGTGTGTATGTCTTTAGAATATTTAACGTATAACAGCTTTCCCCAAGCTTCTGCTGGCATTGATAAAGGGAAATGATGAGGTGGATAAATTATATGTGTTAAAAATATATGTATTAATATGTATAAAAGGCAGTTGCATAAGATACAAAATTAATAAAGTTGCAGAAGGTGTAAAGCATTGACGTTTTGCTTTTACTGTATACTCTAAAGAAACTTCCTTATTATATATTAGATTGTAGCAAACAAGCTTTAGGTACCATGGTAAGTATTAGTTACTGTTTGTAAATATTGTTTCTAATTAGAAAAGGCAGAAAATTAACCCCTTGAATTACTCAGAATATCTGGACTTTATGGAACTTCCAAAGAAAGATGAGAGAACTGGACCAACTTAGCGATCAGGGTAAATTTACACTAGTTTAGTTATGCCAGTATGCTTTCTCATGTAGACAGCCTGTTTTTTTCAGCTTTTCATACCTTTGTAGCTTCACTATTCTAGAATTTTACCTTGCTGTGCTCAGGTAAAATAATGATTAAATCACTAACACTTGTGCAGATTTAATAATGAATCAAAAACGGGGCCTTTAAGCAGCAAAATGATTCATCTATGAGAGTCTATACTCTGTTTCAAGATGGTGTAATTTGCTTGAGTATCTTAGCCAGATACAGTAGATCATTTAGAGAAGGCCATAGCCTTTGAATGCTGCCATAGAGTTGTACAGAATTAAGGGCTTTGTCCAAGGTTGAAGCCTAAGGACTTCTTATAATGATATTTTTTATATGAGTAGCTATGATGGTTTAAGTTTACTTTGATTACTTTATTAATCTAGTTGCCAGATAACAACTAGTTGGTCCAGTGTAAGTACTAAGAATTTTGAATCAAGTATTTTTTCAGTTTAGTTTCTCTCTTTGGAAATCACCTGTTTTAAGTAATAATACGAAATCTTAAAAACAGGTGTTTTAGCAAAAATTGCCAGGCTTCAACAGGTCTGTGTCCTGTATACCTTACAGACTCTACATCAGTAATCCCTGTTTCTTCCATTGACCTACATGGCTCTTGACAGCTATGCTGTCTTGGTATTTTTCACTGTGAGACCCGTTCCGTATTTATTACTTCAAGATTCTCCCACACGCTACTAGTCTACTAGTCTCCTTTCACTCATACATACAGTATCTTGAGCTCTCTCCCTTGTCTTCCTTCCCATAATAGCATCAGTTCCCTCTGTTTCATTAGTTGCCTTGGTCTGGGCAGTTGGTGGATAAGGAGTGCACGTGCTGTTGGTTGGTGCGGAGCAGCTACGTGCCCTCGTTTTGCTGGCTGGCTGTCAGACAAGCTGACACACTGAACAGAGCAGATAACTGAGCTCTCCTTGCTGTTTCTGTAATCAGGTCACTAAAGGTATTTCTCTTCTCTGTCCAGCTGAAAATTTTCACAAAACTTTATTTTTGAATCTCCTATTCTCTGTCAAAGTTAAAATTCAGATGATGAGCTCAAAAGTGTGTTGGAGGCAAGATGGTGAGGAAAGGTGGCACGATGTGTTTATGTAAGCCTCGTTTTCATATGAAATCAGGCTAAAAAAAGTGCAGTCAACAACATGAGCGTGTGAAAACAAGCAGGTAACAATGTGCACATGAGTTGTTTAATCCCTCTTGACTCCATATGGGTTAAAGCCAATTAGCATGAAAGTACTGCTGAATCACATATGGTCATGTTTATTTGTGCTTTTTCATTTACTTAAATGGCAGACTCGTGAGTTCTAAATGCCCTCTGTATTGATGACTCCATCCCATATTTGTCTTTAAAGAAAGAAGCTGTGATGGAGAAATGCAGATAAAATTGACTAATTGACTGGAATAATTGAACTGTTGAAGTCATGTAGTAGTTTACCTTTGCTGTACATGCACTTTTTATTTAAAATGCTTTTAACCGTTAGCTTAATAGGCTGCATACATTGACTTTAATTAAAAATGTTTACTGAGTAAACTAAGGGTAATCACAGATAAGCATTTTATCAGAAATTCCAAAGGCTTGCTATGTTGAAACCTGCCCCAAATGAATATACATCAAGTATAGTGGTGTTCTGGGGTAACATCATGTTAAATTGGTGCTTAAAATATCCCTACTGAAAGTGCTTTGAAGAGTGGAGAAAAACAAAACATTGAAGTGATGTCCAGTTGCAGAAGGGCAGCAAGATGCTGGTTGCCACAGGTAGGAGCCAAAGGCAAAAACTTGAAACTGTCATCATAAACTTCCAGGCTGGGTAGTAATGTGAAGCGTTTACTTCAGTTTTGTAATATGGTCTATAACTAGTCTAGACTCTGCAGTCTTTTTTTGGTAAGGTGGTTATTAAACATGAAAATGAAACAACTAAAGAGTTGTGGGTTTTGTTTCCTCTGTAGACTGAAGCTAGGTGGACCTTTAACCAAACTGTCTGGTCAGTGACCAATACCCCTTTTTTTTTTTTTTTTTTCCCTGCAGTTAATTAATTTACAGTCAGATATGTGCTCAGCAGCTGAGCTTCTTGCCATGAAATTAGAGCAGGACTGTCACTTCTACTGTGCATCACCCAAAGTTGAGCTGTTTCCTAAAAACATCCTCTGTGGGTATAAGAAGGTTCAAAGGAACTGCATGGTAGCTTGGGAACCGCATGCGATTGGGTCTCTCTGTTGCTGTGGCTTCTTGAATTCTTTTCTAATCTTTTTTTCTTAAGCACATTATACAATTTCTTGATGTTCTTTTCATTGTTTCTGCAGTGACTAGGATTTTATGTGATCACCGTGACCTTGCTGTTGGGAGAGAAAACCCATTGAAATAAATGTTCTCTTTCTGTTGGTTTCATTAGCTTCAGTTTAATTCCTAGTTTTTATGCCTCAAATGGTTTGATTGACAGTAGATAGTTGAAAGGACAATACCTTTAAACTATTTTGTTCATTTGGATGGGAATATTGTGTATTCCTGCGATGAAAATTCTAAGTACTTACAACTTCTTAATTGTCTTCTATCATGTATTTTTTCTTAATTGAAAAATTAAAATTTCAATCATAAGAAAATAACTTTTTTTGTTCTGAATAAAATTTAAATACAGGAGTACTTATTTTTATACATACTTCGTTTGCAGTGTGTTTTCACTACTTGTATTTCAGTTTGCTGTAGAAACTAGTGTTTAAAGAAAGGTAAGGCTTTGTGTGACTGTTTAGTAAATAAGCTATTTTAATGTATGTATTTTTATACAAAGTAAATTGAGTCACTTGGTACAAAATAAACTGTTTAAAAAAAATGTTCTTTCAAAAATTTTTAAAATTATTATTTCTATTTTAAGTGGGTTTGGAACCAGCACCTCTTTCTGTATCTGAAGAACGACAACTTGCAATTCTGACAGAGCTACCTTTTGTAGTTCCTTTTGAAGAAAGAGTAAAGGTACCTAATTTCTTATTTAATATGCAGTTGGTGTTTTTTTTGTTTTGTTTTCAATAAGTTTAAAAAGAGCACTTAGGTAAGTAGAAACTGGATCATTTCCTTACAGAAGGATATGACAGGCCATACTGGTTTTCTTCAGTACTCATGTGGCAACTGAACATTTGAAGTTAATTATTTTTCTTTTACTAGTTATATTACCCTTTACAATAATTGCATTAAAATTAGAAACATGTATTCCAGGATATATGAGACCAGTTGTATGTTTATAATAAACTGCAGTCCTGATTCAATGATTGATCTACATGATTACACCCTCTTGTGGTAAGCAGAGCACTAACTAGTTGTGTATCTAATAAACAGATGGCAAGGTCAAGACTGGATACTTTTTTGCAGTGGGTGGATTTACTCAGAATGAGATGATGGATGTCCGTTTTGGGAGAATAACACCCAGAGACTAAATTTCAGCATTCATAGCTGAGTAGCTGAACTTTATGTAGTTTAAAACTTGCAAGATTCTTGTACTATTGAATTTGCTCTTAAATGTTTTCTAGTTTTTAAATATGTAATTGTTAGTTCTATTACCGATTTCAGTTTGCATCATATATATTTTTTAAAGCTTTCACTGTTACAATTTCTTTTTGTCAACAGCATCAGTTACTTAAAAACTGCTCCCTGAATTGTCTTGGAAATACTAAGTTGCAAGACACCATCAAGGGAATGAAGAATAGTCCCACAGGGAAAGTAAAGCAGTATTTGTCAAAGACAGTGACAGCTTTAGTAGAAAAGGAGTGTTTTTTCCAGGCTTCTATGAAAACAGTTGTTCCAACGGAACATCTTAATACTGTATGGCAATATTGCACTTGGGTTATGGGGAAACAATTGGAAGTGACCTCAAGCAGGGATCTCTATGTCACGATTTAGTCACTATCTACAGCCTTTGGGCTTCTTAAAGCTATGTGGAGATGCATATATGTAAAGTTTCTGGAATTCCTAAAACCTTGTTTGGTTTTATCACAAAAACTGAAATACCAACTGGATGAGATCTTGGAGAGAAGGATAAAGCTATAGACTGAACTTTTATAGTTCAAAGAGGAGATCCTCCTATACTACTTTTCGGGCCATGTGTGGTTGTTTTTGTGTAATAGTGGGTGTCTACATCCTTTTGGAGACTCCCACTGCCCCTGGAAAACAACTTGCAATAAGGGAAGAAGATACCTTACCATGGTCTTGCTGGTTTGTTTGGTTTTTTGTTTGGTTTTTTTTTTTTACTCTTGACCAATTGCCATCTATTACGCTGTATTTTAATGTGGTAATACAGCTCAATGCTGTTTCCATGTGTGGGTTGTTCCATGTGTCCTTGTATTTTCTGACTTGTTCATGAGATTTTTACCTTGAATCACCAGATACTAGATACTCTTACAAGCAATTACCGAGTCCAGTTTCATGGTAGGCTCTTCAGCCTTCTGACCCTGGGGATGTTATCCTCTTTAGCCTTAAGGCACATTGGTGTACACCTTTTAATCTGATGTTTGCCTGTGGGAGGTAATGCATCCAATTTGTATCAGGTGCCTTGGTTCTAACTTACTTAAGCCATACTTTCGTCAGCTTGCCTGTGGTGATGTTACTTCCTGTGGTGTATATTTCAATCAGCATTGCTTACTTTTTCCATGTGTTAGTCTGAAGTCATTGCAAATTCTTCAGTTAGGTGTTAGGGTTCTTATTTTCAGGACTAACATATGCATGAACATTGGATTACGTAGGAGTCCAGACTCTGTATCAGGAAGAATTTTTCTATGAGATATACCTCCAAGCGATTCTTTCCATCTAGTGTTGTGTAACGATAGTTAATAAACTGTATCTAGCCATACTTCAGGAAAGAGAATGGTGGTGAACATGTTCTTATGCCGTGTACATAAAAAGAAGGTGTCTGTGGCTATGTGTCTTGATGTTGTAGAACTGTAGAAAAATTTAGATCAGAAGGGACCTCTGGAGGTACTCTAGTCCACATCCTTCCTCATACAGGAATAACTTCGGAGTTGGATCAGGATGTACAAGGACTTGTCCAGATGAGTTTTGACTATCTCCAAAGATGGAGATTTCAGACTCTCTGTGTAACCTCTTCTGATACTTAATCACTCTCATTATGAGTTGTTTTTTTTTCCTCTATGTCCATTCAGCTTTTCTTCTTCTGCAGCTTAGGACTATTTTCTCTTGCCTTCCTCCTATGTACCTTAGGAAAGAGTCTGGCTTTGTCTACACTATAATATTCCATCTTGTCCGCTAGCTACAGCTGTCCACAGAAACAGTAGATTTGAGACCTTACTCTAGCTTTGCCTGCTGTTGTCAGATTTTCCGCTTTCATGGTAAATTTGTTGGTTTTAAACGTCCCTGGAGACTCTTACTTAAGCAGTCTGTGATATTATTGGGAGATTACATCACATGGAAAAGGTAATAGACTATTTATTGAATATGGAAAAGATGCAAGAGAGGATGTAGTAAACAGACACTCCCTGGATTGAGGGTATATTGAACATTATTATACATTAGGCAACCCCCTCCCATGCTACATCTTGGAATAGGAACACAGTTAGCTACAGTTACTCTTCAGGTGAGCTGTAACGGCTTCCTGTTGTGAAGACTTGCAAAGGGACAATGTGAAATTCAGTTTGTACTTCAGCTGGTGTTATTTTTTTTTAATTGGTGTGATGCTCTGGTTCTTTGTTTAATATGGCAGTGCTGTCCACTATTTTGCTTTGAATTATTTGCTCACTGCTCCTGAGAGGAGAACTGATACCTAATTTCTTGTTACTGGGAATGTTCCTAAGCATTTCAAAAAATGACAAAAAGATTATTTACTAGTATTGAGGATAGACTCTGTGCATGCAAAATACTCATGTGACTTTTTCCCTTTGTTTTTGAATACTTTGCCTTTCAGAACTCTGAAAGTTAGGGAGAGAAAACTGGAATCAGTGGCACAATGTCTGTAGATGTGCCTCTTTATGTGGAAAGAACTGAGGATGATATCTTAGCATGAAAAAGTTTTTTACATGTCTCTCCCCTCTCCTTCCCTCCTTTGGGACATGGCTCTGTATTATGTTTCTGTAGCTCAATGAGAGAGAAGACAAATCACTTGAAAGTGAGTGCCGAGAAGCAACTCAAAGGACAGTAGTAGTAGTGAATAACCATCTTTCAGTCAATATTTAGATCTGCACAATGACATGATTTCTCTTTTCACTCATTTTAACAGATTTTTCAAAGACTGATCTATGCTGATAAACAAGAAGTTCAAGGAGATGGGCCCTTTTTGGATGGAATTAATGTCACTATCAGAAGAAATTATATTTATGAAGATGCTTATGATAAACTTTCTCCTGAAAATGGTAGGTTTATGATTAAGTTATCATCAGCTTGTTTATGACATTTAACCATTCTTACCATGTAGTTACATATTTGCTTACTTGAGTAGGATGTTGAAAGTGTATCAGCTCTGAGGTGTGAAAATTCTTTTAAAGTAAAATTTCCTTGTTTTTACATAAAGTAATTCTCATCCACATTCTTTCTGATTATTGCAGTCTCATTCTCCTTAACACACCCTTCCTTACTTCAGATCTATTTTTATGGAGCATTTCTTCCCATTTACTTGTCCAAATAACTCTACTTTGTATATTTATCTATGTAGTTCATTAGATATTATCTGCTTTGGTAATCTGTGTCAACAAATATATCTGGACTGCACAGGATTTGCTAGATACAGTGTGGCTCATAAGGATAATGCAGAGCACTTTGTAGTGATAGTATGTAGTAGTATATATTTTACCACATTGATTTAGATCATACCTGAATTTGTGTGAGAGTGGCTGCTCTAGAAGCCAAAATTCCAATGTAGATAAAGCCTGCCAAAATAAAGTCCTTATTAGTTATATGGTGGGTTTGCGTATAAAAAGAATATTTGCCAAATACTTGAGGTTTGCCATGTGAATCTCACTTGCTGTGCCACGTAAGTTCCCTCCTGGAGAACTGCCTAATTTAGAGAGGAAGAAGAAGAGGTGTTGGTATTCTTGGTTTGTATAAAATGACTGGAGATCATGCCTTTTCTTAATTTCCTTTACTCTGGTAGTATTAAAGATACTATTCTATTTATAAATAGGATTTTGTATTTCAATACCTGTGTTTAAAACTGCAGCTACCTAAAAGAGGTATATTTAGAGTAATTTTTTTTTTTTTAATTAAGTAAAAATTAAGTTCTCCTGGTTTTGGAAAGTTTTAAAGACTAATCAGGAGATGTCATTGTATAATTGTCTGGAAATTATATGTACAGTTGACTGCTTAGCCTCTTTCCTAGTGATTGTGAATAGTTTCATCATACTAAGTTTAATTTGACTCATTAACTGGTTTCTTAAAAAGAGAAAGATGAAATGAATTGGAAAGTAGAAAAAGTTGAGTCTGTTATGTTCACCTTCCCTTCCCCTGAAATGTATGAAAATACAATTCAGAAGCTGCAGACTAAGCTTTTGAATAGTGCAATGTCAAGTAACAAGCAAGTCAACCTACTTGTTTAATAAGAAGATAGGTTTAAATGAGAAGCACATTTTCTGTGAAGACTGCATTTCAACTTACTGTAGTTTTATTGAACTAAGAAAAAAAGTTTTAGAATGCATGTGTCCTAAACTTAATCTACAGTCTGACAATCTGGGTACTGGGATGTATTCCACCGTTAGCAAGGTCACAGGCAATATGAAATTGAGGGGAATATTCAATATACTGGAAGGTCAGGTTGCCACTCAGATGGCCCTTGATAGACTGAAGAAAAGGGCTTACAGAAGCCTCATGAAGTTTAGGAAGGACCAAAGCTAAATCCTGTACCTGGGCTGTAATAACCCTGTATAGCAGTACAGACTGAACACTGACCAGCTAGAAAGCTGTTTGCAATAAAGAACCGTGGGGTTCCTAGTGGACATCAAATGGAACAAATAACAAGTTCCCCTTGCTAAGACGAAAACTAACTGCATACTGGGCTGTATTAGCAAGAACATAGCTCACAGTTTCAGCACCGATGAACTCTGTCCAGCTTTGGGTTTCCCAGTACAAAAAAAGACATTAACGTACAAGAATGTGTCCTGCAGAAGGCCACTAAGGTGATGCAGGGGACTGAAGCACACAGCATGTGAGAGGAAGCTGTAACTTCGCTGCAACTGGGAGGTTACTAGAAGCCAGTTTGATAAGGTGCAGTGGTGACTTGTAGCAGCAAGGGAGATTTTTACTGGACATATATAGAAAAAACATTTCACAGTGAGATTTGTTAAACACTGAAGTGGGCTGTCCAGAGAGGCTGTGAAATCTTGATCATTGGAAAACTCAAATAGACCAAGGCACTGAGCATCCTGATCTAACTTGGAAATTGGCCTTGCTTTTGATGTGGGGATTTTGGGTCATATGAGGTCTTTTCCAACCTGAGCCATTCTGTGATTCTGTCAAGCCTTCTGTTCAGCAAAAAGAGCTTTTGTATTAACACAAAATTTATCTGCATATACATGTATATAGTTCCAGATAATGTTTTCAGCCTTTCCTTGGGAAGAAAATTACTTATAAGAGAGTGACAAGGCAGAACCCAATAAGCTTGTAGCAAGGGATTTGGAAGTAGACTAATGTCTAGGTGAAGATTTCTGTCTTGCTTACAGCTATAGAAAAGCCATAGTGGTAGTTGGCCATTGAAGTCTGAAAAATCTGTTCTTCTGCATGTGTGCATGACATACCATGTATATGCACACATATACACCCATGCATATATATATACAGTACTATCTAGTACCGTACTAGTGCTATTTAGAAATAAAGACTAAATTAGAAGGTTGGACTTCTTTTTTTTTTTTTTTTTAAGCCAGTATTCTGAGACAGTATAATTTTTTGAAATAATTTTGGTTCTGTAGTAGGTCAGGCATCATGTGGGATAGCAGGAAAAAAGAAATTCCTGAAAATTGCAAGAGACAATCTCAAGACTATAGACTGAATGGATTAAAATTGATCTGGGAGAATGAACAGGTGATAGATGAGGTCCTAGGATTGATCAGGAGAGCATGAAGAACATTGATTTGGAAGAGGCATCCAGTTTGTCTACTGGCCCTGAGAAGACACCTGCGCAAAGTCAATGTTTCTGTAGTACCTTAACTGAGATTATTAAGAAAACAAGCTTGGAATAGCAGAAATGTACTAGGTTGGTTCTTGTGGGTTTATATTTTCATTTGGTTGTCCTATGCTTAATAACGTGCAAGCATTTCTCAATTTTTTTTTTTTCCCCTCTGTGACTGGAATTTTCAGAATATTCCACAATAGCCTTCCAGTGGACTCCAGTAACAGTTTAGTTACATTCTGGCTGTATGAGTTATAAAACTGAACTCTTCTTTTCAGAGGTTGCACTAACTTGGGGTCCACCTCAACTGGTCACCTGTTTTGACATGTGAATTTGTTTTAGGAACATTTTTCCCTCCTTGCTGTAAATCTGGTTGCCAGTAAACAGAGCAAGAGGCAAACAACTGATTTTCTTTGCACGTCCCCAAAAAGCACTAAACCAACATTTTCCATATATAAGTGTTTTAACATTAATGCTCAATATCTCAGGAGTCTCCAGACAAAGCACGTCTGTATGTTTGAGACTCTCTTTTGCCAGTGTTCTGTTTTCTTGTTTTGAATGGTGATGAGTGGACCTATTACAGTGCCTGTGGCTAAAAATGGCCATCCTCTATTTCCAGCCAGCAGAATTTTTGTGCAGGAGAGCATTTCACTTAAATGAAGAACTAGTAGGTAATTTTTAAAAATAGATGAGTGTGAAATGGGAAGTTACTAGTAGATGTAGAGCCATTTGCTAATGGGAGAGCGTGACTAAGACACTCGGTAGTTCAGGAGAAATTCTGTTGCTACAAGGTACTGCAGATTCTTTTATGCACATTAGCTATCCATCCATAATGCGTGCATTTGTAGCACCTGGAAGCAGTAGAAAGTTTTATTGTTACTGGTTTATTACTGGTTGCTTTGCTGGGATGCATGTGTAGTCAATGCAAGGGTTTGCATAAAAACTGTGGATTTGGTTAGATCTTTGGAAGCCTTCAGTGATCCTCCTTCCCTGTTATGTATACATAGTTCAAGGACTGAATACTGCTTCCTTTCTCAAGTACCAGCCTTCTATGAAACAAGCAGAACACCTGCCTTCAGAACATGTCCATCTTTACCACACCTTGCTCACTGGAATTACATGACATAGAAAGTATCAAAAATATCAAGTTCAATTTCAAATAATATTTAGTGGTGTAACTTAACAGTCAGCCCCTCTAAGGGAATGCAGTGCTGATTGACGGTTCCTTGAGACAGGAGAAAGCTGAACCTTGAATTCACAATGTTTTATATAAGTAAAATTTTCAAATTATTCTCGGGCCTCTTTAAAATATTTTGTAGAATTTTTTTTTCTTCCTCTGTCTAGTGTCTGTCCACTCCATCTTTTGATGACTCTTAAAGCAATACCCCTTCTACAAAGCGAATTTCACATACCAAATATTCCAAAATTCAAGACAGTAATAGATTTTTGTTACTATTTACTAGTTCATTTTTTGTATAAAGTTAGTGTAGATATGTTTGTATGTGTAGTTACATGTTTTTTTATCCGAACATAGTTGTATTTGTATATAGATAGTTGTATTTGAGTTTGTCTCTCTCCTTTCTCTGCAGAACCTGACCTAAAAAAGCGCATTCGTGTTCACTTACTTAATGCACATGGTCTTGATGAAGCTGGTATTGATGGTGGTGGAATTTTCAGAGAATTTCTGAATGAACTACTTAAATCAGGATTTAACCCTAACCAGGGATTTTTTAAGACCACCAATGAGGGACTTCTTTACCCTAACCCTGCTGCACAGATGCTCGTTGGAGACTCTTACGCTCGACATTACTACTTTCTTGGAAGAATGCTTGGAAAGGTAAAAAGTGTCGTATAATAAAAAGCTATAGCAGTACTGAAATTAGTCAGTAAAGTTTTTTTTTTTCTTTTTAGATAAGGGTAGATGGGAAAAAATGATGATTTTTCTAGAGTTGAGGGAAAATAACTTTCAGATGTTGGATCTGAACATTATTTCAACATAACACCCAAATTTCTGGTTCATTTTAATAAGTTACATACTAGAGAAGAACAGAGAATTTGATACGCTGACTGTCAGTTGAGCAAAGGGTTCTGTGTTTATCCTGTTGCTTAAATTTGATTGAAGCTAACAGAAATGCTCCGCTTATGGTGATTTTTAACGTGGAGCTTATGGTGATTTTTAACCTGGAGCTTTCTGGAATTTTACTGCAGTTGCATTTTCATCATTTGGAATATATGAAATTAATATTTTCAGAAACAAACAGGAGTTACGAGGTGTACAATTCTTGCTGGCATTTAAAATTTGCCATGAGCATTTACCGTACTTAAGAGCCATATGCAAACTTCCACTTACTCTGCTTGTTTTTTCATACATTTTGCATCTCTGTCGAGTTTTAGTACTTGATATTTTGGTGTTGTGAATGTTCAAAGACTAATACACACTTGTTGAGCTAGATGAAAATGAAGTGGGGAAGAAAAGAAGAGAGAAACCATTACAAACAATCATTACATTCAATTTTCTTTTATGGTCAGGTTTAGTACTGAGGCTATTTCCTTCTAAGGCCTTGAAATAATTTTGGTAAAGCTAACAATTTTGAAACAAAGTTTGGAATACATTCCATTTCAGAAAAAAATGTATTGATTGCTACTTAGCTATCTAAAACTGAAGGTATTTAAAAGTCCCGTTTAATTGCCTGAATTATTTTGGAGGCTAAAATCCTGCTGATTTGCAGTGAGATTTAACATATAGTTGGATGTCCTTTTAGTGGAGCTGGAAGCAGTTTAAGAGGATGTTGTTGGCAAACTTGAGTTGTTGAAACAGAGTGCTCTTCTTTAAGTCAACTGATTTAGATTAAACTGCCACTTTGTAGGCAAATTCTCTGCTAATGCATCCTAGCTATTGCAATATCCAAACCTGTTAAATAATGAAAATTTCAAATCAGCCATTTCAATAAAATAATCTTTGAAGGATGTTCCTGCTTTTAATGGGAGATGGATTCAGTACTAATACAAAAGTTTGTAATTATGACCTATGTTACGTATCCAAGGCTTCATTTTCTTTCTGCATCTATTGATTTTTGGAGTGGGGAGACGGATACTGCTGTGGTATCGTGAGGAAGTTACTTCACTCCAAAAATGTTTAGTGTTTATCTAGGAATGGAGCAGGCCTCAGTCGTCAAGGGGAAGTTTGAAACATTATTTAAAAAAAAAGATTGTAGTTCTGAATCTTTAATTTCCTCTGTCAAAACAACACATTGCCTTCTGTAATTAGATTTCAAATATTATAAAGAGGGAAGTTGCAAAATGTGTTTTATCTCCCACAGAGTGCTAAAAGTATAGTTTTGTTTTTGTCTTTTTAAAATCAGGGGATCTATTATTTAACATTTTGAAAGCATAAATTGTTTTTGTATTTGCAGTATGTTTACATAAGGTAAGAATTGACAGTGTTACTTAATAATTACACCTACCCAGGTGCACAGACACCTTTTTAGTAGTGTATTTAGAGACTCGATGAATTAAACAGAAAGATAAGGCACGACCATACTATTCAAAACCTGCCAGTATTGTGATCTTGGTTAAGTTATTGAATACTCACTCACCCGTTTCCAAAATTGTGTCCATTTTATGCTTTGCACAGGGTTATTTGAGAGCAATAGTGGATTATTAAAAGCCCCTTTGTAAACAAAATAGATATAATGCAAAGGAAGCAATCAGGCATCCACAGCAATTTCTTATTTGTGGAAACCAATATGTAAAGAGTGCTGCCACCAAAAAGTCTCACGTAAGAAGTTTCAATGTTATCAAAAACCAAATACATTAAAATATAATAATTTATAGAAATTCTCTGTCTCTTGGTAACCATTTCATACTAATATCCAAATGCATTTAACTTCCAGTACCATAGATTTACACCTAATTCAGTTTTTCTTCTCATCAGGAAGTTTCTAACAGCTTGACATCTTCTGTGTTAATTGGTCAGTTCAGAAGTAGAAACATCTGAAAATTTAAAACTTACCTTTAAAAACGTTGTATCTAAAAACTTAGTAATTTATCTAGGGTTAAAATAATTTGACTATTTGGGGTGTGTTTTTGTAGTTAGTGAAGAAATTGAAGTCTATTTACTATACAAACTGCATGGCTGTCCATGCAACTGTTACTGATCACTGAATGAGCAAAAGGTCTTGTAGAAATAATACCATGTCATCATGTAATTGCATATGTTGTCTGAAATAATTCTTAAAAAAAACCAGAAATAAGTTTACTTAAACAACAGCTACTCAAACAATTCCAAAGTTTACATTTCTCAACTTTCAGTTACTTTACTCTGTAATGTAAATATTATTTTAACATTGGTGACTTTTAAGCATTTCCCTTTCTCTTCCTTGAAAGGTCAGCTTACCATGCACACCTCTGGTAGCAGTCTCCTGCCACTGGCATGGTTTGAAACTCGAACCTTTTAGTTTCGCCCACTGGAAGCATAGCAGTGACTTTCTGAGTCCCAAGCTTTGCTTGAGAGCTGAGGGTGTCCTGGGCTGTCGGGGATGTTCAGAGAGAGGTGTCCTAGCCCCAAATTCTTTTTGTTGTCCTCTCTAGAAAGTAAAGTCTTGTCCCGTGTCATGTCCCAGAAGTATGGATGCGATGTTGTAGTCCTTTTGCTCTCTTGGGAGGCAAGATTGGGCTGTGGGGAGGCACCTCATTTGTTTTAACTTTCTTTCCACATGCAGTAGTTATTCTGGCAGCACTAAAAATCTTCCCACGTGCAGACTTTCTTGTTGCAGTTTTGGCAATGTAGCGGACTTGGCTCAGGAGAACACAGAAGTTGCTGTTTTGATAGGCTGCCAAAACTTCAAGCAGCATAGCCAGAGAAGGGAAGCTTGGAAGCAACACCTGAGAGTCTTAAATGAGGATTTTCTCCATGCTGATTTTTTCTGCAAACCTGAAAAGAGGGAAAGACTGGTTAAAAATTTCAACAGAAGCAGTGATCAGTAGAACAGTGACAGAGAATTAAAATCTGAACTTCACCATGTTTGGACCTAAACTCAGTCTTGTATACCATATTATCTTTCTCCATTTCCAGTTTACATTTGCATTTATTCAATGATGTTAGTGTGACAGATGTTGTGGAAAGGACATTCTTTGCATTTGGAATTATTTGACATCAAGTAGCTAATTCCTATGATAATTTACTTAAATTTCATAAAGTATCAGCATTAGTTTAAGAATGTGGCGGGAAGTCCATAGAAAGATTAGAATGATAATTTTTATGGTTTCCTCTTCTTCCTTTTTGACATAAACCTGCTAGTTCTTGCACGTATTATGTTTTGCAATGATTGTCTTTGCACCTTTAACGAAGTGACTCTTTCTGACTCTTTCTCAGCATCTGTGGTTATGCTACTGAATTCTACCATCTCCATTTCTCTTCTCTTATTCCAGCATATTGAAGATCACTAGTGAGTCACGCATTCATGTTGCTGAAGAACATATGCACTATCTTTAAAATATAATATTGTCGTGGTTTAACCCCAGCCAGCAACTAAGTCTCTTTTTCTAAGCAGTCCTTGGAAGACACTGGGATTTTCTGAAAAGATTTAGATTTGTTTTGTCAAGTCTTAGTTTTGTCTTAAATGGTTGGGAAGGAAGTATAAAGAACAAAATGTGTTTTGAATTACTGTTGTTTTGAACTGAGTCCTTTTTTTGTGGATCCAAATAAGGAACTTTGATAGAAGAAGCAGCAAGACCTGAGCGAAAATAATGTTTATTTTAAATTTTAGCATTATTTTGATGGTGGCTAGATGAGACAATCTAGGTTTAGTCTTTGATCAGTAATATTTAATGTTATATAGGAGGTCAGTAATTTGCGTGGCCTGGTGGATATGATATTGATGAAGGTTTAAGTTGTTTATTTTCATATGACCTTTTATAGGTTACTATCCTGATTTAAGATATAATGGACTGTTCTGTGCACATATCTAAATGTTGTTAAACATATATAATTGGGAAAAAAGTTGTAAAATATGTCTTTTGGTAAAATTAAACATCAGAAGGGTAATAGTAGATCAAATACAAATTTTATTACTCTAGTAGTAAATGTGGGACCATTAATTATTGATTAGATTATTTCTCTATATCTTAGAGAGTGTGCCTTGTGGTTACTGTTTGTAACTTTGAATAGAGCTGTGATAGATCATTTGTTGTGTGAGATACTATTCCTGGCTGGAGGGTACAATTCTAAGATGAGCAGCGTCTATAGTATCCATTTTGCGGAAAAACTAAAGTTGTTCTTAATCATCCTTGGGCCTTATCTAAAAAGGACTGAATCAATGGCAGTCTTTTCACAGGAAGATCTGGATCAGATCCTAAACTCTTAAATCATTAGTAAGCTGCACATATGGAGTTAAAACCTTCAAGCAAATGTTTCTAATAACATATTTGTGTGCTCTTTTTGTGCCAAGAGCTTGTAGAGAGGAAACAAAGCAAGAAAACTCTACAATGAGAAGAACTGGGTTTCATATACTTGAATATTTGATAGGATGGTGCATCAGGCATTGTGCTGCTACTCCTCCTCTCTTTCTCTGACTGTTGAAGGGTGTTGTGGTTTTTGTATTTTTTGTCGTTCCCCCCCTTTCCCCCCCCTTCTGATTTTTAGGCTACCCTTTCCCTTTGCTTACTGTCCATTCAATTAAGACCCACTTTGGCTTAAATCAGTACACTCTTAATTGATCTGTGCTGCAGCCACAATTGATACTACTAGTACCTAGAAAGGTAGGTATGGAAATAGTGGTACTGATACAAAGTGGAGGTAATTTGTATAAACTTTTTGTTTTATTAATTTCAGTTACC